TTACTCATGTTCCTTTCACTGTGATTTGGAAATGATTTAATCTTTATAGAATGAGACCCTTTTTTGGACTAGCTTTTTTATTAAAATGGCTCAATTTGTGTTGGAAAAAAAAAAAAAAAAAAGCTCCGTGTAACAGGTCAAGAAGCAGCAATGACTCTTATTGGCCGTGGCCGGGGAACCCCGTGTAACAGGTCAAGAAGCAGCAATCACTCTTATTGGCCGTGGCCGGGGAACCCCGTGTAACAGGTCAAGAAGCAGCAATGACTCTTATTGGCCGTGGCCGGGGAACTCCGTGTAACAGGTCAAGAAGCAGCAATGACTCTTATTGGCCGTGGCCAGGGAACCCCGTGTAACAGGTCAAGAAGCTGCAATGACTCTTATTGGCCGTCGCCGGGGAACTCCGTGTAACAGGTCAAGAAGCAGCAATGACTCTTATTGGTCGTCGCCGGGGAACTCCGTGTAACAGGTCAAGAAGTTGCAATGACTCTTATTGGCCGTGTAACAGGTCAAGAAGCTGCAATGACTCTCATTGGCCGTCACCGGGGAACCCCGTGTAACAGGTCAAGAAGCAGCAATGACTCTTATTGGCCGTGGCCAGGGAACCCCGTGTAACAGGTCAAGAAGCAGCAATGACTCTTATTGGCCGTGTAACAGGTCAGGAAGCAGCAATGACTCTCATTGGCCGTGGCCGGGGAACCCCGTGTAACAGGTCAGGAAGCAGCAATGACTCTTATTGGCCGTGTAACAGGTCAGGAAGCAGCAATGACTCTTATTGGCCGTGTAACAGGTCAGGAAGCAGCAATGACTCTCATTGGCCGTGGCCGGGGAACCCCGTGTAACAGGTCAGGAAGCAGCAATGACTCTTATTGGCCGTGTAACAGGTCAGGAAGCAGCAATGACTCTTACTGGCCGTGGCCAGGGAACCCCGTGTAACAGGTCAAGAAGCAGCAATGACTCTTATTGGCCGTGTAACAGGTCAAGAAGCTGCAATAACTCTTATTGGCCGTGTAACAGGTCAGGAAGCAGCAATGACTCTCATTGGCCGTGGCCGGGGAACCCCGTGTAACAGGTCAGGAAGCAGCAATGACTCTTATTGGCCGTGGCCAGGGAACCCCGTGTAACAGGTCAGGAAGCAGCAATGACTCTTATTGGCCGTGTAACAGGTCAGGAAGCAGCAATGACTCTCATTGGCCGTGGCCGGGGAACCCCGTGTAACAGGTCAGGAAGCAGCAATGACTCTTACTGGCCGTGTAACAGGTCAGGAAGCAGCAATGACTCTTACTGGCCGTGGCCGGGGAACCCCGTGTAACAGGTCAGGAAGCAGCAATGACTCTTATTGGCCGTGTAACAGGTCAAGAAGCAGCAATGACTCTTATTGGCCGTGTAACAGGTCAAGAAGCTGCAATAACTCTTATTGGCCGTGTAACAGGTCAAGAAGCTGCAATGACTCTTATTGGCCGTGTAACAGGTCAAGAAGCTGCAATGACTCTTATTGGCCGTGTAACAGGTCAAGAAGCTGCAATGACTCTCATTGGCCGTGGCCGGGGAACTCAGTGTAACAGGTCAGGAAGCAGCAATGACTCTTACTGGCCGTGTAACAGGTCAGGAAGCAGCAATGACTCTTACTGGCCGTGGCCGGGGAACCCCGTGTAACAGGTCAGGAAGCAGCAATGACTCTTATTGGCCGTGTAACAGGTCAAGAAGCAGCAATGACTCTTATTGGCCGTGTAACAGGTCAAGAAGCTGCAATGACTCTTATTGGCCGTGTAACAGGTCAAGAAGCTGCAATGACTCTCATTGGCCGTGGCCGGGGAACCCCGTGTAACAGGTCAAGAAGCAGCAATGACTCTTATTGGCCGTGGCCGGGGAACTCCGTGTAACAGGTCAAGAAGCAGCAATGACTCTTATTGGCCGTGGCCAGGGAACCCCGTGTAACAGGTCAAGAAGCTGCAATGACTCTTATTGGCCGTCGCCGGGGAACTCCGTGTAACAGGTCAAGAAGCAGCAATGACTCTTATTGGTCGTCGCCGGGGAACTCCATGTAACAGGTCAAGAAGTTGCAATGACTCTTATTGGCCGTGTAACAGGTCAAGAAGCTGCAATGACTCTCATTGGCCGTCACCGGGGAACCCCGTGTAACAGGTCAAGAAGCAGCAATGACTCTTATTGGCCGTGTAACAGGTCAGGAAGCAGCAATGACTCTCATTGGCCGTGGCCGGGGAACCCCGTGTAACAGGTCAGGAAGCAGCAATGACTCTTACTGGCCGTGTAACAGGTCAAGAAGCTGCAATGACTCTCATTGGCCGTGGCCAGGGAACCCTGTGTAACAGGTCAAGAAGCAGCAATGACTCTTATTGGCCGTGTAACAGGTCAGGAAGCAGCAATGACTCTTATTGGCCGTGTAACAGGTCAAGAAGCTGCAATGACTCTCATTGGCCGTGGCCAGGGAACCCTGTGTAACAGGTCAAGAAGCAGCAATGACTCTTATTGGCCGTGTAACAGGTCAGGAAGCAGCAATGACTCTTATTGGCCGTGTAACAGGTCAAGAAGCTGCAATGACTCTCATTGGCCGTGGCCGGGGAACTCAGTGTAACAGGTCAGGAAGCTGCAATGACTCTCATTGGCCGTGGCCGGGGAACTCAGTGTAACAGGTCAGGAAGCTGCAATGACTCTCATTGGCCGTGGCCGGGGAACTCAGTGTAACAGGTCAGGAAGCAGCAATGACTCTCATTGGCCGTGGCCGGGGAACCCCGTGTAACAGGTCAGGAAGCTGCAATGACTCTCATTGGCCGTGGCCGGGGAACTCAGTGTAACAGGTCAGGAAGCTGCAATGACTCTCATTGGCCGTGGCCGGGGAACTCAGTGTAACAGGTCAGGAAGCAGCAATGACTCTCATTGGCCGTGGCCGGGGAACCCCGTGTAACAGGTCAGGAAGCTGCAATGACTCTCATTGGCCGTGGCCGGGGAACTCAGTGTAACAGGTCAGGAAGCTGCAATGACTCTCATTGGCCGTGGCCGGGGAACTCAGTGTAACAGGTCAGGAAGCAGCAATGACTCTCATTGGCCGTGGCCGGGGAACCCCGTGTAACAGGTCAGGAAGCTGCAATGACTCTCATTGGCCGTGGCCGGGGAACTCAGTGTAACAGGTCAGGAAGCAGCAATGACTCTTACTGGCCGTGTAACAGGTCAAGAAGCTGCAATGACTCTCATTGGCCGTGGCCAGGGAACCCTGTGTAACAGGTCAAGAAGCAGCAATGACTCTTATTGGCCGTGTAACAGGTCAAGAAGCAGCAATGACTCTTATTGGCCGTGTAACAGGTCAAGAAGCTGCAATGACTCTCATTGGCCGTGGCCAGGGAACCCTGTGTAACAGGTCAAGAAGCAGCAATGACTCTTATTGGCCGTGTAACAGGTCAAGAAGCAGCAATGACTCTTATTGGCCGTGTAACAGGTCAAGAAGCTGCAATGACTCTCATTGGCCGTGGCCAGGGAACCCTGTGTAACAGGTCAAGAAGCAGCAATGACTCTTATTGGCCGTGTAACAGGTCAAGAAGCAGCAATGACTCTTATTGGCCGTGTAACAGGTCAAGAAGCTGCAATGACTCTTATTGGCCGTGGCCGGGGAACCCCGTGTAACAGGTCAGGAAGCTGCAATGACTCTCATTGGCCGTGGCCGGGGAACCCCGTGTAACAGGTCAGGAAGCTGCAATGACTCTCATTGGCCGTGGCCGGGGAACTCAGTGTAACAGGTCAGGAAGCAGCAATGACTCTTACTGGCCGTGGCCAGGGAACCCCGTGTAACAGGTCAAGAAGCAGCAATGACTCTTATTGGCCGTGTAACAGGTCAAGAAGCTGCAATGACTCTCATTGGCCGTGGCCAGGGAACCCTGTGTAACAGGTCAAGAAGCAGCAATGACTCTTATTGGCCGTGTAACAGGTCAAGAAGCAGCAATGACTCTTATTGGCCGTGTAACAGGTCAAGAAGCTGCAATGACTCTCATTGGCCGTGGCCAGGGAACCCTGTGTAACAGGTCAAGAAGCAGCAATGACTCTTATTGGCCGTGTAACAGGTCAAGAAGCAGCAATGACTCTTATTGGCCGTGTAACAGGTCAAGAAGCTGCAATGACTCTTATTGGCCGTGGCCGGGGAACCCCGTGTAACAGGTCAGGAAGCTGCAATGACTCTCATTGGCCGTGGCCGGGGAACCCCGTGTAACAGGTCAGGAAGCTGCAATGACTCTCATTGGCCGTGGCCGGGGAACTCAGTGTAACAGGTCAGGAAGCAGCAATGACTCTTACTGGCCGTCCCGGGGAACTCGGGTCACTCCTGCGGCTTGGCCAGCGTTTCTGTTCTGTCTACGTCGGACTAGCGTACAGAGTGGTCTGTTTTTTCGTCTTGCTCTGGATCGTGGCCTGATGCTGGTGTTTTATGAAACTGTTCACAAAGAGAACACTCAGGCCTAGCTTCTGTGCCAGACCACCCCAAGTCCTGGCTGCAGAAGCAGGCAGCCCCCCGATGTCAGAAGCCGCCTTTCCTTTCTAGGCATAGAAGGGAACACCACCCAGGAGGACTCCCTCTTCTCCGCTCCCCACAGGGACCGGGTGGGTGCAGACAGCTCGGGGAAGGCCTCCTCTCCCTCCGGCATCTTTTGAGGTTTCCGTCCTGACGCCCAGGGGCGCTCCACCCAAGCCTCGGTTTCTCAGGCTGTAAAACGGGCCAGGAGCCAGGAACGCCGTGGAAGAGGTGGCAAGAGCCCCAAAGCCTTGTCAGCCATCAGGGGCTGCCCTTGAGCTCGGACATTTCTTCTGAACAGGCCTTCTCGGACAGGAACTCAACGAAACTTGACGGAAATCGGACAGCCCCCGCCAAGGAAAAGCGGGAGAGGCCCGGGATTCGCCAAGGCGGGAAACATCGCGTAGCCCAAGCGGCGCCGCCACCCCGGCTCGCGGTCCTGGCGCGGGAGAGGCCAATGCGCGTGCGCACCGCGCCGCCCCACTCCCTCCGCCCCTCCCGCGCGCAGCCCTCTGGGGCGGCGGGGCAACGCCGCGCGCCGATTGGTGGCGTCCGGGGCTCTCCCTGCAGGTGACTGACGGCGCCGGCCACCCCCGTCGCCCGCCAGCCGCCGCCACCGCCTGCCCGGGGTGTGGAGCCCGGCCGCTGCTCGCGGGCTGCGCGTCTGCCGCTCCCGCCGTCGCCGCCCAGCCTCCGCCATGGACCTGTTCGGGGACTTGCCGGAGCCCGAGCGCTCACCGCGCCCGGCTGCGGGTAAGCGGCGCTGCCGCCGGGCGGACCGGGGAAAGGAGGGCGGGCGGGATGGCGGCGGCCTGAGGCCCGCGGCGGCCGAGGCGGCGCCCGCGTTGGGAGGAGACGGGCGGCGCGGGCTGCACGGGGCCTGCTTCTGCCTGGCCCGACCCTGTCCGGCTCGCTGGCCGCCCCGCAGGGAGGCCCGGTAGTTCGCGGAGCTCGGAAAGGCCGCTCCGCCATTTTCGCTACGCAGGAAGGAAAGGGCCGCGCCGCCCTGGCCACGACCCTCTGCCCGGCGGTGGAAGGCCGCGGCGTGGCCGCGTGGGCCGGCCCGAGTGGACCAGCTCTCAGCGCCCAGCGGCCCCGCGGGCCCCCGCGCCACAGTTCCACCCGCGGCCCGGGCCGCCCTGCCTGACTTCCGGGGCGCGCGTCGCCCGCGGGCTGTGGAACGGCTGCGCTCCCGGCGGGTGCACCTTCGGGGGCTCGGCGTTCCTTTTTGCTCGGGAGGTTGAATTAATCACCGTCCTAATCCCTCGTGTTCCTGAAGCCCGGAAGACAGGATGCCTCCTCTGCCATCCTGTGATTTTGTCATAATTAACAGTCGTTTTCTGTTCCTTCCTGGACTGCGGGAAGTTTCCCCTCTCCCTGACGTTAAAGGGACGGCTCATCTGCTAAACCCTGTCCCCTGCTAGTGGGAGTCCCGGTGGGCTGTGGGGTGAGCGCAGCATCCTGACAGCGTGAAACGGGGCCTGTGTTAATCTCTGCCTCCTGTGGGTTACAGTCACTCGATTTCATTCGGCAAAATGCGTGAATTTTTCACGTGCGAGACTTCAGCTAGGTGCTGTAGTTTAGGGCCTTATTTATTACCAAACTTAACTTGGGGGCAGAAATCCTGGAAAACTGAAGACATTCAGATTTCCAGGCCCACCTCAGCCCCAATAAATCCGAATCCCTGAGGGTGGGGTTTCCGAATCTGTTACTAAATCCCCAGGCTAACCCAGCGGGGGCTGGAGACCAACGGTTTGGGAACTCTCTTGTAGGGCAGATAGAGGTGAGTAAGGCCGAACCTTCGCTTTCTAAGAGCTGCTTTCTGAAGACTAGTAATTACGGTAATTAAAACTGGCAAAAGTTAATGACTGTGGGAAATGGCGAGGACTCTTCAGGAGGGATTGTTGTGCACCAAGAGCCTGGGGAAGAAAGCAGTGTTTGAATTGAGCTGCTGAGGATGAGCAGGCTTTTGATTTGCAGTGATTCTGGGCAAGAAAACGGTGTTTATTTATTTTTTTATTTTTGAGACGGAGGCTCACTCTTGTCGCCCAGGCTGGAGTGCCGTGGCACGATCTCAGCTTACTGCACCCTCCGCCTCAGCCTCCCTAGTAGCTGGGATTACAGGCACAAACTACCACACCCGGCTAATTTTTGTGTTTTTTGGTAGAGACGGGGTTTCATCATGTTGGCCACGCTAGTCTTGAACTCCTTGAGGTGATCCACCCGCCTCGGCCTCCCAAAGTGTTGGAATTACAGGCCTGAGCCACCGCGCCCGGCCCCCACTGACCATTCTGATGGTACAGAGCATGTCAGTAACTGGTCCTAGAGTCTTTGGACTTGACTCAGCCATTCGTTTTCAGCATAACCACAGTTCTAGCTGTGGGTTAAAATTGGATTTGTGTAGCCGTCTCTGTCAGTGGAATATAACTTCTAGCTGAATATATTTGGGACAGCGTTTGTATTCACTGTGCCTGTAAACCTGTGAGTTTTTAAATCGCCATTCCATTACTTCTTATCTGCAATTAGATTCTGCTCAGGGGTAGGCTTCCTTGACTGACAAGAAACCTGGCAACTCAAAATCTCATAAGTTGGCACCTTAGCAGCCTTTCACTAGATAAAATGGGAAAAATACATCCTGTTGCTGTTTTTTCCAAACTTGACTGAGCTGAGAGCGGGGGCAGAGGGGCTGCATGGTGTTTAAACTGCCAACGTCCCTGAGAATCGGTTGGTCATCTGCTCCCTGTCTGCCGGGAGGGCACTGACACTGTCAACAGGTCCTGTTTGACTGAGTGTATTTTTAAAAACAGCTTTAAAACGAAGAAGATAGCAAAATTTGTAGATGAATGGAAGCTGAGAGGGATAAGTACTAAAGTGAGTTGCAGAATTGGGATCCAAAGTTAGCTACGACCAACAAGATGAGATTTGACAGGTTAAAAAATCGTTTGTGTAAGAACAGAATCTGGTTTCACATACTTGTGAAAATACTGTGATTTAAAAAAAAAAACAACCATACTTCGTTTGATAAATGATATTGACTGCTAAAGTGAGTGGAATAATGAATCTAAACGGTGCATCATGACCCTCAAACATGCTATGTGGGTACCACAAATCTCTAAGCTAATGCGGTGAACAATAAAAGACCTAGTTATTTTCACAGAGTGCAAAAAAAGTTGTTCAGGAAATGTAATCAGACTATTTGGTTTAGAATCCAGCTCTTACTCCCTCTGCCTTCTACGGCTGTTCCTACATCTGTAAAAAGGGTGACACCTCCTACTGTTACTGTACAAATTCAAGAGTACAATATGTATGCTGTGGAGCGTAGTGTGTGGTGGAACCTGTAGTGTTTTATAGATGTTAGCCATGGTTAATCATTTTGGCGACAGCCTCATTGTGTTGCCCAGACTGGAGTGCAGTGACACAAATGCAGCTCACCTCCCTCAGTCTTGCAGGTCATCTTTCCACCTCAGCTAACTGGGCTGCTGGGACTTCAGGTGGGCACCACCATGGCCAGCTCATTTTTGTATGTCTTGTAGACACGAGGCTTTGCCATGTTGCTCAGGCTGCTGTCGAACTCCTGGGGCTCAAGTGTTCTGCCCACACTGACCCAGAGTGTTGGGATTACAGGTGTAAGCCACTGTGCCTGGCTGAGCCATTAACAGTCTTCTAAAAGCAGAAAATACAGTCTTAAATGAATGTTATGAAAGCCCTGAGTGTCGGAGGGAAATGCTACATTGCTTGGATCACATCAAATTTGTTACTATTCTATTTAGACACTTTGATTTTAAATATTGCATCTAATGTTCCTACCCCCAAACCTCCTAAATCTTTATAATCTAGAAATTACATCGAATGCACTCAGGATTTCAGGTATTGTGCTAAGTTGGTAGTTTTCCTCCAAGCCTGTAAAAGTTTTAATTGCAGAGTGAATCAAATTTTTTAAAAAAGGTATATATATATAAAAATAACACCTAAAAATGTTTGTCCATATCAGGCAGAAATGGCACGTTTCTGTGTCATACCCATAAAAAATGTTGGCTTGATGTCTCTAAGCTTGACAGCTTATATCTGACAGTGCACACGTCATTTAACGGTGTCATGGTTTAAAATTACTTCAGCAGCAACTTGGTTTCACGGTAAAGGGTGGTTCTGTTACTTATTTGGTTGCTGCACCAGTCCATTTAAAATTGGTGGTCACTTGTCAAAGACTAAATAAAATACTTGCTTGGCACTCCATCTTAAAAATACTTTTTAAAATAATTGGAGGCTGGGCTTGGTGGCTCATAGCTGTAATCCCAGCACTTTGAGAGGCTGAGGCAGGAGGATGGCTTGAGGCCAGGAATTTGAGAAGAGCCTCGTGCAACTTCTGTCTCTAAAATTAAAAATAATAATAGGTATTTAAACATAAAATGAAAGTTAAGGTAGAAGAAAACAGATTAATTGTAAAATTACAGGGTTGAACAAGAAAAAAGTCAAAAAATTAAAGTGAATTCGACTATGTAAAAATTTAAAATTTCTGCAGGACAAATGATACTATAAAGGCAAAAGACAGAAAATAATTGCAAGATACATTACTAAGGGTAAGTGAAAGGCTCACAGAATTAATAGGAAAAAATAAAACCCACTAGAAAAATGGTCAAAGGATGTATCCTACCAGTTCAGAGGGAAGGAATACAGATGGCCCATAAGCAAAAAGTTGCTGAGGAATTAGCTACTGAGGAAGGGAATGTCAGATCACTTTTCACCTACCAGATTAGCAACAACTGGTAACATTGGAGGAATAGACATTCTTATAAAGTGTTTTGGGAGTGAAAGTTACTACAGCTTTTTGGGGAACAAATATTGGCTTCTATCAGATTTAAACTAATATCCTATGACTAGCAGTCTAGCAGATTAAGCAAGAATATATGTCAGGTTGTTTATTATATAGTGGCGTTACTTGTCACGTGAAGAACTGGAAAAAGCTTGAATGCCCATCAGTAAGGCACTGGTCAAATGAGTGGAGATGCTTCCCATATGTAGCTGTTGGAGAGAATGAATTACACGTGGGTGTGTTGGCCTGGAGCATGCTTTGATGGGTTATGTGAACAATAATATATGTGGAGTGTTGTGTAGAGCATGATTCTGTCTTCTACATGTTAAAATGCATGCATTCATGTACATGAGCATTAAGGAACGTGGAAAGTATACACTAAACTGAGACTGTGGTTGGGGAGTGTGGTAGGACCCCTGCCCCCTTTTATCTGTTAATACCTGTGTGATGTTTGGAAAACACCCGAATTTCTTTTCTAGTTGAAAAGAAAATTGAGATATTAAAAAAAAAACAATTTAGGCAAAATATTTTAACATCCTTTTCTAACTTTATTGGATATAGCAACCTTTAACCCGAATATGATCAACTCAAGGGTGTTTTTCTCAGCATAGTGTGTAACTTCAGGTAGACTTAGCTCCAGAATGTTGATAGCTGAAAAAAAAAAAAAGTTCTAGGTGAGATTAACTATGAGTAATAAACATTTTTGGTCCTGTTTTATTCTTATTAGTGTTCAGATATTTAGAAGATTGGGGAAGGGGCCTCTTCCAAATTTTTAGGTCAGGGTTGCACTTTGTCCAATGATTGCAGCCCCCAGTGGTTTGAATTTTAGTTTATTCAGTATAGAGTGTAAGGGCCTGGAGCAGTGGCTAACACCTGTAATCTCAGCACTTTGGGATGTTGAGGTAGGAAGATTGCTTGAGGGCAGCATAGACCCCATCTCTACAAAAAATTTAAAAATTACCTGGGCATGGTGGTGCGTGCCTGTAGTTTCAGCTACTCAGGAGTCTGGCAAGGGAGGATTGCTTCAGGCCAGAAGGTTTAGGCTGCAATGAGCTGTGATAACACCATTGCACTCCAGCCTGCCTCAGAGAGCGAGACTCTTGTCTCAATTAAAAAAAAAGAATGGAAGATTTTGGCTAATCAGTAGTTTCCTTATAACCTATAGATTTTTTTAGAAAAAGAATCTGTGTGCAAACTTCTAAGTTAGATCCTTTTGACGATGCAAAAAGTAGCCCAGAATTTTATAGAATCTCAGGATTATCGTAGGATTGTTGTAAGGATAAAATGTGATCTTTGTGAAGTTTCTGAAAGGGTGCCCATATATGCAGGCAGCATAGTATCTCACTATGAGCATGGACTGCATGGGTTTGAATCCCCACTCCACTCCTTACTGGCTCTGTGATCTTGGACAGGTAATTGACCTCAGTGCCTCAGTTTTTTTCATCAATAAATAATAATAGTACCTATCATAAGAATTAAATGAGTTAAGATGTATCGAACCCTTAGAATAGTGCCTGCCAGGCAGGCAGTATCATCATTTTTGTAAGCTATTACCAATTGTGGTCAGCAGAATGTAAGGTGGTCTCACTGTGTTTAATTGAAATACCTTTCTAGTATTCCAGATTGAGAAAGAAGGTGATCGGCACATTCTGTGCAGCACGGGGAGCTAGGCAGTTCTCTGGGGACGGGGCTCAGTTTGGGGCACCATGTGACTGAATTGCAGCCAAAGGAGAGGGGGCTAGGCTAGTATGAACTAAGCTGGAAGTTGCATCGTGAGGAATGCTTGCAAGGACTGAAGTGTATCTGTTACCTGGGTAAAAGACGACATTCCCCCACTGTACAGTGGACAGACCTGCTTTACATGGGCAAGTTAATTCAAAAATTAAGATAATGACCTGGCACGAGTGGAAGGGTTGGTTGTGCTTCAGGGTGGGCTGTTATCTGTAAATGTCCCCTCCTTTGTTCTAAGATATCTGGCTCTCTGACCCCACTGAATGCAGCATGATTGTCTGCATCATCTCATGGTTTTGAGTCTGTCCAGAGAATGGACATTTTGATTGTTAGACCCAATGTCGTTTGGGCAAAAGGGACCTACTCTAGGATATTAGGAATTCTTGTAAGTGGATTAAATCGAGTAATGGTTATCCTAAATACCTTTTTTTTTTTCTTTTTTGTGACAGTCTGGTATTGTTCCCCCAGGCTGGAGTGCAGTGGCGTTAGCTCAGCTCACTGCAGCCTCTGCCTCCCAGGTTCAAGCTATTCTGACTCAGCCTCCCAAGTAGCTAATTTTTGTTTTTGTTTTTGTTTTGTTTTTTTGAGACTGAGCACTCTGTTGCCCAGGCTGGAGTGCAGTGGCACAATCTGGGCTCACTGCAGCCTCCTCCTCCTGAGTTCAAGCAGTTCTCCTGTCTCAGCCTCCGCAGTAGCTGGGAGTACAGTTGTGCACCACCTCTTGCCCAGCTAGTTTTTCTATTTTTAGTAGAGATCGGGTTTCATGTTGGTCAGTCTGGTCTCGAACTCCTGACCTCAGGTGATCCACCCACCTTGGCCTCCCAAAGTGCTGGGATTTATAGGTGTGCGCCACTGCACCTGGCCATCTTAAATACTTTTTAATGGTTTTATTCTGCTTCCTGTATACTTCTCATAGTCTTTATGTCACTTGTAAGAAAAACAAAAAAATGAAAGTATTTGCAATTCCTTAATTTGTTTAGGGTCATCCTGAGGGGTTAGAATACATTTTTCCATTTGCATTAGGGGTCTAAAGCAAAATAGTTACTTTCTGTTAACTCAGAAATCTATTGTGTGTTTAGGTACTTCTCACCCAAAGAACCCAGGATAAATTTCATTCCCTTAAGTTTATAAATTGTAATTAAAACTTTTGTTTTTAAAAGAAGAAAATTGATACCCAGCTCATTTCTAAATGGAGGCAAAAAGATGTTATGGATGACCCTCTTGGGGGGTATAAATTGATTTCTTTAAGTGAGTTGTTTTTTGCCCGGCACAGTAGCTCACACCTGTAATTCCAGCACTTTGGGAGGCTGAGGAGGGTGGACCACTTGAGGCTAGGAGTTTGAGACCAGCCTGGCCAACATGGAGAAACCCCATCTCTACTAAAAATATAAAAGTTAGGCCCAGTGTGGTGGCTAACACCTGTAATCCCAGCACTTTGGGAGCCTGAGGCAGGCACATCACTTGAGGTCAAGAGTTCAAGACCAGGCTGGTCAATATGGTGAGACCATGTCTCTACTAAAAATGCAAAAATTATAACTGGGTATGGTGTTGTGCACCTGTAATCCCAGCTACTCAAGAGGCTGAGGCAGGAGAATTACTTGAACCCAAGAGGCGGAGACAGTGAGTTGAGATCACTCACCGCACTCCAGCCTGGGTAGCAGAGTGAGACTCAGTCTCAAAAAAAAAATTGTTTTTTAAGTGAGGTGTTTTTTTTTGTTTTGTTTTTTGTTTTCTGTTTTAAGACATGGCATGGTCTTATTATGTTGCCTAGGCTGGAGTGCAGTGGCCCAGTCATGTCTCACTGCAGCCTTGACCTCCCTGGGCTCAGGTGATCCTCCCACCTCAGCGTCCTTAGTAGCTTGGACTACAGGCGCTTGCCACCACACCCAGCTAATTTTTGTATTTTTTTGTAGAGATTTTTTTGCCATCTTGCCCAGGCTGGTCTTGAACTCCTGGGCTGAAGCAATCCTCTCACCTCAGCCTCCCAAAGTGTTGGGGTTATAGGGATCAGCCACCACGCCTGGCCTAAATGAGTATATTTTTATACTTGAACTCTGAGGAACAAGAAGTGAGATAAAGCCCATGTGTTTGATTGGTGTGTCGAACTTCGTAGGAGGTGAATGTGCATACTTTCAACTTGGATTCCTGTGTGCCAGTTCAGATACCTAATAGCTTAAATAGAATTTTAGGGAAAGGTGGGATAATAAGGAATAGTGGTTTAATTGTATTTGGAAAAAGATAATTAGGCATAAAACATTTACTTTTGGAGTGGAAATCTTTACATTTTTTGTTAAGAGTTTTCTGCCTTTCTTCTGAGGCCATCTGTCTTTGATTACCCTGAAACTCCTTATTTTCTCCATAGCTATTTATTGAATCAGGCACTGTGCTGAGGCCAGGGACACCAGGTTACAACAGATTTTCCTCCCTAGCCGAATGTTACTAAAATAGGATTTTTATAAACCTGTAGATCTTTGAAGCCCGCCACCCCCCCCACCCCGTTTCTGAGCTTCCATCTTGAAGTCTCAAGTATTGTTTTCCTGGTCTAGAATCAGTTTTTTTCTCCCCAGGATTCTGTTTCAAAGAAAGACTTTTAAATGTTTGATGCTTTCAATAATGAAATTATCAAGAAAATATTTTTTTCCTCAGAATACTCAATGGCCCTGACAATGGCCTGTTAAGACATCATTCATTGCTTTTATGTTGACTGTAACTGTTGGGAACAGGTGTCCATATTAAAAAGCTGTTAAAATATTTTTAAAAAGTTTGTCCAGCAGGAAGAAGAAAATTTGAATCTAATAGCAAACTTGTATCAAAGCAGGAAGACCACATGGTCTTCTCCTTTGAAAACCTGTCCTGGATGATGACCCTGTGCTCTCTAAACAGGTTTTCTGTGTTTTAGGGAAAGAAGCTCAGAAAGGACCCCTGCTCTTTGATGACCTCCCTCCAGCCAGCAGTACTGACTCAGGTACAGTCTCCAGGCTCTCCCAGGTGTGTGTCAACGTCTCTACTCATCCTGGGATTGTAGTTGTCTCAATCTTTTTCCCTTTCCCCCATTTTCAACACACAGATGTTTTAGGTGTTGGACTGTCTTTAAGTTTTGAATCCATGGGATCAGGTAAGGCAGAAAAATCTGCTAGTCGCTAGCCCTGAGAAGAGCTGCCAGAACATGTGGAGCAGTTTTCTCTGGTCCTTTGAGTATTTATTTTACTACCTGAAATACAATTTAACTTTTTAAGGCAAATTTTTATTTCCTTTGAAATGATAGGACTTTAAAATAGGTTCAAGATACTATTCCCTGCAGTATGAGTTGCCACTGGATTGACGCAAGAGTTTTGAGTTTATTTCAGTAACCTACATAGGTGTCCTGGTGGGATGGATTCTGAAACTTAAGCCTTACATTATTTTTATGGGCTCACTAAGTGTTCTGCTGTGTTTCAGGATCAGGGGGACCTTTGCTTTTTGATGATCTCCCACCTGCTAGCAGTGGCGATTCAGGTAAGTGGTAGGACAAAAAACCCAAGGTGCTGATGGAAATAATACACAGTATTTCATTCTTATGTGAAATTTACATATAGATTTTGACAGGATTTTGGATGACATTAAGTCATAATACAGCATAAGGTTTACTATAAAACTATAAACAGGCACCATCGATTGGAAGGACAAAGATAATACTATATCACTTTCTGGTAATACTAACTTCTTGAGGTTCAGATTGTTGGAACTGACTTTGAGAATTAAGAGTTCACTGGTTTACTCTCAACTTTGTTATTAACATTTTTTAAAAATTCAGTTTGTTATTCTGATTTACCTCGTTAAACAGAGTGCTTGACCCAAGTGTATCAAGCCTAGTAGTACTGGCTCTACCTTCTCCTGAAAATGTTCCTTTTCATGTCCTAATTAAGTAGAAGGGAAGAATAGAGGAGATTCCTCTTGCCAACATGGCAAAGGTATGATTCTGTCTCATGAGAACTTCTTACGTGGAGCTCCTCTGGTGGGGGAAGGTGAGGGTTATGAGAGGTTGGGAGACAGATGGTCATCCCATTTCAGAAAATGTACTGCAGTCATCTTACGTAAGAATCCTCAGTCTTCAGGGCTGTAGACCCATAAAAAAAATGGTAGCATTCTCCTACTCACAGTGTAGCCTGAAACCTTCCTAATAAAGACGATACCCTTAGTTGTAATAAAAGTTAATATGTTATGGCCGGCTGCGGTGGCTCATGCCTATAATCCCAGCACTTTGGGAGGCCAAGGCGCACAGGTAACTTGAGGTCAGGAGTTTGAGACCAGCCTGACCAGTATGGTGAAACCCCATCTCTGCTAAAAATACAAAAATTAGCTGGGTGTGATGGTGCATGCCTGTAGGCTGAGCTAGGAGAATCACTTAAACCCAAGAGGTGGAGGTTGCAGTGAGCCAAGAATGCTCCACTACACTCCAGCCTGGGCAACAGAGCAAGACTCCATCTCAAAAAAAAAAAGAAAGGAAAAAGGAAAACTCAAGTTATGAACCCTACCAACTGAGTGGATGTCTTTCTGTCCTATAGAGGTATTGGTGACTTGCGGATCTGAATCGTGAACTTTTTGTCATTAAACTATGATCGTGCCACTGCATTCTAGTCTGTGTGACAAGAGTGAGACCCTGTCTCAAAAACAAAAAGAAAAAGAAATGTCTGGCGAAGAGTAGGCTGAATAAGTAAATAAGTACTTGCATCATTTTTTTTTTTTTTTAAAAGAAATAGAGTCTCACTACTTTGCCCAGGCAGGTCTCTAATGCCTGCGCTGAAGTGATCCTCCTGCCTCAGTCTCTGAAGTAGCTGTGACTACAGGAATGTGCCACTTCATCTGGCTATTGCATACTTCTATCGCTGAATACTTTCTACCCCTAGATGCAGAGAACATTTACAGTCATTTGTTAGGACAACAGCTGCCATTATTGGAGATTGATATGTTAGGCGCTGTGATAAATGCTCTTCCTACCTGTCCTCGGCAACTTTCAAACATCTCTCTGAGGTGAAAGTATTCTTACCGTGTTCTGCACGGGTGAAGACAACTGAGACGGAAGGGAAAGCAACTTGCTGTTAAGTTGCACACTTCTTTGAAAGTTGACTTTTCTCATTTCAAACACATAGACACTGCAGATTCCCTTAGCTCTGGCTTTGAGTAGCGATTCATCCTTTCACTAGTGGGAACAGTGTGGCAGCCCTGTTTTGCCTTTGAAAGGATGTAGTACCCTTCTTAAAGGCTGACAGTTACCTCATTTTGAGCCTTTTTAGGTACTTGTTACTTTTTGGAACTTCTTTAGAATATATTAGTTTACTTACAGGTTTTGTAAGTTTTTGTTTAATACTAAGAGCCTGTGGATATAAAAACATGTATATGCTACAGGCCAAAAAAAAAATTTGTATTTTGCCACTGGGAAAAGTCTTTTACAGACCCCTTCAGCAGGGTCTGTTTGATTCAGGGCTTGGATCTTTATGTTCTCTCACTGTGGGAACGTGCCCCCCACCACCATGAGGACACAGCTCCCAGGTCTGCCTGTGTCTGCCAGTCCTTGCTTGAAATGACCTCGTCTGAGTGCGAGGATGAAGCCCGGTGTGCTAGTGACTTTCTCCAACAGTCTACAGCTGTGTTTCTGTCCGGCTTTTACTTTATTTCCAGGTTCTCTTGCCACGTCAGTACCCCAGATGGTAAAGAACGAAGGGAAAGGAGCAAAGAGGAAAACCTCCGAGGAAGAGAAGAATGGCAGTGAAGAGCTTGTGGAAAAGAAAGTTTGTAAAGGTTTTCACACAGTTTGAAAACAAATGTATTAGACTTTATATTTTAAAACAGCCCAGAGCAAACCAGTTTCAGCTTTCTAATAATGCTTTCTTTTTGTATCTGTATCTAAGAGGTGAGCAGGTTCCCTTTTCGCAATTGAATTTCCAAGTTTCTCTGTGCTTTTTTTCTCCTACTTTTCACGTACATCTATCTCTTATCCTCCCTTTGCTCAGATAGGAAACCTACATTTGTTCCTCAAGAGTCACAAAATACAGGTGATTTTTTCCTGAGCCTTCTGCAGTGAGTAGTTTTTGACCACTTAGTCTCCCTGTGACTTCCAGTCTTTGTTCACGGTTTGTTGATTAGTGCTTTTAATTCTGTGATTTAGCTTGGTAGGCAGTTTCCCTAAGCCCGGAAAAAGGAGTTGAAATTTGTAGTCAGTTTTGTAACCTGTCAAAGTTAGTGGGAAAGAAAACAAAAAGTATTAACTAAAGAGAATACTTTAGTTGTGGTACTAAAGTGTTCTTGAGCTGTGGGATTTTCAGTGACTGCGTTGTCCTTTGCCACAATTGAGCTTAGTGAAAGCTGTACGATGCAGGCAGAGCTGTGTGAAAAGATCCACTTGTAGCTCTGCTGGGAAGACGTTTCCTTCAGCTTGGCTCGTCACTTCCCAGAGGACAGCTCTTTGCAGTGTTCATTTTATTATTTGTTTGCTATTAGGTATCAGAAAATGAGTTTAAATGAGCCTGCCCATTAAATGTAAATAGAGCTCTGCCCTGCATTGGAATCTTATCTTTTTCTTCCTCAGTTGAAGTAAAAGCAACTGATCTTACCATTTGTTCAAATTCTTCACCAGCCTTGAGCATGGAAATACATATTTTCAGGGCATCTTACGGGGCTTTTGAGACAAACTCTGCTGACTTGCATTTATCCTTATTTATCACAAGATTAAATTTGCTCATAATCCCTTCCCCTGATTTGAATCTTACTTCTCTGCGATAGCGGCACATCCCCAGGGCACATCCCTTGCCCTGGCACTTTGACTCACACCCTAGACAGAGTTGTTTTGTGCTCACTAACTCCTCTCTTGTGTCTCTGTGCAACCTCTTAGAGCTCACCCTGTCCATCAGTGCTCTGATTTTAATTATAGACTTGCAGCTGGGAGATGCTGTAAGGGGTATTGCTTATTTGTTTGCACCATGAGGATATTGCTGAGTAAAACAGTCATAGTTCCCTCTCATTTGCTCTGGGACTAGGGTTTCCAGAGGGTTGGGCACAGTTTTGTATTGGCTTTTTTGTTCTCTTTTCCTTAGCCTCTTCGGTGATCTTTGGTCTGAAGGGCTATGTGGCTGAGCGGAAGGGTGAGAGGGAGGAGATGCAGGATGCCCACGTCATCCTGAACGACATCACCGAGGAGTGTAGGCCCCCATCGTCCCTCATGTGAGTCTCTGTGTGGTAGGAAGCCTGTTTGGCATTAACATCTCCTGGGTTCTGACTGGCGTTTTGGACTGGCTAGTTTGTATTTACTAGAAAGACTAACATATCACTTGATTCTACATCAGTGATTCTTAGCTGGGGTTGATTCTGCCCCCTGCCCAGGGGACAGTTGTCAGTGTTTGGGTACATTTTTGTCACGGTTGCGGGAGGGAGTTGTTACTGGCATCTGATGGGTAGAGATCATCTTAGAGGCACAGAGCAGTCCCACAACAAAGAATTTTTCAGCCTGGAATGTCAGCAGTGTCAAGATTGAGCAACCCTGCTGCTGAGCAGGAGATGACGCTCTGTGGCGTGGCTCTGCAGCATGTGTTACTCCTTACTGGCAACTGAGCAGCTTCTGGCAGAGAATATTTTTATTCCATGACCTAGAAGATAAGAGTTGGAAGCCACCAATTAACGTATGAATGGTGATCAAGGAGAGCTTGTACAGATAATGAGGGCCAAGGAAAAACAAAGGTCAAAATGATATCAAGGAAAAGACAGACAATGAAAAATTAGCTGTAGCTATACAAACTAAAATGAAGCCTTCTGGATAAGCTCTTGGGCTTGGAGAAAAAGTAACCAGAAGGTAGGACATTAAGTTGGCTGTTAACATACATTATAGTACATGTTTAATAATACATATTACATCGGTTCCATAGTTCAGAGTTACATAATACATGCATTATGTACTTTATCTGACACCAGTTGGTCATTAACATACAGTGTGCTGGAGCCATTTGGGCTGATGGTGTTTGTCCCGATAAGGGCCACTCATGAAGATGAGGTGATGACTGCTGCAGAGCAGCTGATCATGTGTAAAGGGGATGATATACACACCCATTGAGACAGGGTCTAACTCTCTTGCTCAGGCTGGAGAACAGTGGCACAATCACAGCTCGTTGCAGGCTTGATCTCCTAGGCTCAAGTAATCCTCCCACCTCAGCCTCCTGAGTAGCTGGGACCATAGGCATGTGCCACTACACTGGCTAATTTTTTGAACTTTTGTTGTAGAGACAGTGTCTCCCTGTGTTGCTCAGGCTGGTCTCAGACTCCTGGGCTCAAGCCATCCTTTCACCTTGACCTCCCAAAGTGCTAGGATAACTCTCATGAGCCACCACACCCAGCCTGGGATTTGCATTAAAACCAGGAAAGGGGCCTCTGGAGCCCAAGAAGGCAGATCCTTTGAGACTAAATTTAATTGTGAACACTAAATCATGCCTTGCAAATAGCAGATACTAAGATAACAGCTCTAAGTTAAAAGCAGATGAGGTTTTTTCTCAAGGCTCAGGATGTCCTAAATCGAAAAGGCATTCCGAAAAATTTGAAGGAAAAGCAGCTCTCTAGAATGAATGTCCTTTCTCGTAGGCATTTTTATTTTTTTTCCTTCTTGAAATAGTTTATTTGATGTCTTTTATTCTATACGTGTGGGTTTTTTGGCAAAACTTGAAAGGGGAATAGGAATAGCTATAGTGGTAAGATAGGTTTTAAAAATGAGATATTCAAAATTTATTTGAGTAACAATTTTGTAATATCCTTCCTGCTCTTATAGATACAGTCATGTGCTGAATAACATCAAGTCAGTGATGGACTACATATATGATGGTGCTCCCATAAGATTACACATTTTGTAGAGATGGGATCTCACTATGTTGCCCAGGGTGGTCTTTAAGTCCTGGCCTCAGGTGATCCTCCTGCCTTGGTCATCTCCCAAAGTGTTGGGATTAATAGGCGTGAGCTGCCGTGTTCAGCCATAATACCATGTTTGCTATACTTTTTCTATGTTTAGGTATGTTTAAATGCACAAATACTGCCATCGTGTTACAACTGCATACGGTATTCAGTGCAGTAACATGCTCTACAGTTTAGCCTGAGAGCAGTAGGCTGTACCGTGTAGCGTAGGTGTGTAGTGAGCTACACTGTCTCAGTTTGCATATATATGTTCCATGATGGGCACACAACAACAGCATCACCTAACAATGCATTTCTGTTGTTAAGTGAGGCACGATTCTGTTTTTGACTGTTTTTGATAAATAACCTGATCTGTGTGTTAATGTTTAAAACCAAATCTGATTTAAATAGGAACAGATTTGGTTTTAAACATTTAACACACAGATCAGGTTATGGAATAAAATAGTGTTGTCAGTGAAAAACCAGAATTAACAGATCTTGATCTTTGAAGCAAATGTGAGTTTTAAACATTTTATTTCAAAGGCTGTGAAAGTGTTATAGCTCTTTTAGAATATTAGACCTCTAGCAGGTCTTCCAGTCTTGACCAGAAACGCTCCCCATCCTCACACACACACACAAAAGTATTTTTTTTTAAAGACAAAATGCTGTGAATTTACTTAAATGTTTGTCTCAGTTAATGTTAAAGCCTTTTTTCCCCCCATTTGTAGCAGTGTGACTAGGGTCTTACCAGTGTGACTTCCTCAGACTTATTAATGTTCACTCTTTGAGATGAGATTTAAAAGCTTTAATGGAAAAGTGTGGTTTTTGCTGTGAGAATTTAGTTAACTCTCAATTCATTCTTTCAGTACTCGAGTTTCATATTTTGCCGTATTTGATGGACATGGAGGAATTCGAGCCTCAAAATTTGCTGCACAGAATTTGCATCAGAACTTAATCAGAAAATTTCCTAAAGGTGAGATTGAGAACTAAATCAGTTGCTGTTCATTTTGGTTGTTAATGTTTGGACAGCTGTGTGAAGCAGTCAGATGTGTCATTTTGGCTTTAGCGAAGAATCATCGATGAGTCTTAAAAGAGTGGGGCTGAGTGGACTCCAGGGCTTCCAGGTGTGGCAGCCCTGCAGGTGTGCCTTAGGATGGCACTTCTCATGATCCTACGTGGTAGACACCTTTTGTGAATTGTCTTAGGGTTCTAGTAGTGTCCTGCCTTTATTGGAAAACTTGTAAAAACAACTTCAGATGGCACTGTGTTATAGGTGAGGAAACAGATTGTTCTGACTGGGCACAGTTGCTCATGCAGCCCTTTGGGAGGCCAAGGCCAGAAGATCACTTACACCCAGGAGTTTGAGACCAGCCTGGGCAACCTAGGGAGACTCCATCACTACAAAAACAACCCCAAAAAACAAAACTAGCTGGACATGGTGGTGTGTGCCTTTGTTCCCAGCTACTTGGGAGGCTGTGGTGGGATGATTGCCTGAGCCCAGGAGATTGAGGCTGCAGTGAGCCACAGTTGCACCATAGCATTCCAGCCTGGGTGACAGAGTGAGACCCAGTCTCAAAACAAAAAATAGAGATTGTTCTTAATCATGCTTGAAATCAGTTGATGTGCAGAAATTACAAAAGCAAAATGACAGTGGGAGCAGGATAATCTTCCCTCATTGAGAGATTGTTTTCTTTTGGCCCTTCTGTAACAGGAGATGGCATCAGTGTAGAGAAAACCGTGAAGAGATGCCTTTTGGACACTTTCAAGCATACTGACGAAGAGTTCCTTAAACAAGCTTCCAGCCAGTAAGTATAACTTCATGAAGAAGTTTGAGTGGACTGTGTGTGCTTTCCTGAATGCATTTCAGTCTTCTGATGTGGTTTAACACTAATGCTCACTGTCTGAAAAGTGCCTAGCACTGAATAAGCTCATACAACCATTAGCTAAGTCTAAAACAGAAAATAAAAACAAGTGTCAGGGGAATGGTCCATTTTGAAATATGAGATACTTTCCACTCAGAATTAGTCTCAAAGTGCTCGGCTGTTGGTGGTGACTGTGTTTCTGATGTGTTTCCCCCCAGGAAGCCTGCTTGGAAGGATGGGTCCACTGCCACGTGCGTTCTGGCTGTAGACAACGTTCTTTATATTGCCAACCTCGGGGACAGTCGGGTATGTGGCTCTGGAGCCACCCACTTAGATGACAGTGTGTTTGATGGGGAAAAGACCTTAGCAAGTACTTGCTGAGTAAGATTAAAGTGACGATGTCTGCATTGAAACCTTTCCCCTGGGGCTGCTGCAGAGTGTTCTGCTGCAGTTGAACTCCTGGGTAAGAGAACAGCAGCTCAGCTAGAGGCACTTTGTCCTCCGGGTAGACTTACACCCCGTGGCAGACTCGTGCTGTAAGACCCAGATCCTGTCTTTGTAGTTTCCTTTTCCTCCTGTGGTTTATTGTGTGTGTGTGATGCTGTAGATCAGAATGTAATTAGTATGCAGGTAGCCTAAATACTCTTCTATTTCATTTCTCTGACCTTAGTGTTGAATGAAAAGTTTTAACCCCTGCCTCTCAAAGTTGTTGTGATTTCAGAGTAACTCAAAAGCTGTAGCTAGAAAATACCAGATGCGGTGCCATGCATCCCCCGAGCCCAGTCCCTGGCTGAGGGAGAAAGCCCAGGGTGTGGTTCCTGCTGGTGGTAGTCGCGGGGATGAGGGTGCTGCTGTGGAAAGAGGGCTGCAGACCCTGCCTCCTCTGCATCAGGACCACATGTTCCATTCCATTGCTCCTTTTTCAGCCTCTTTGCTCCTTCAGCAGTCACAGGAACCAAGTGACTCTGCCTACACTTAAGCAGCATCTTTACACCCCTTCCCCCGATGCTTTTGGGGGGATTATTCATCAAATAATCCCTGTTAGGGGTATAGCTGGGAATATAGCAGATGAGAGCCCCTGCCTGGTGGAGTTTATATTCTGTGACCCATATTCTGGTGACCCTAATGGTAGACTGGCCTTAGCGCACATGTGTTTAAACCAAATGACCTCAGAAATAGCAAGAGGAAAATTGGCAAAAAGTAAAAATAAAATAATACTTAGGAGTCAGACCCAAATTTGAATCCTGGCTCTGCTCTGTGACTTTATTGGTTACTTACTCCTCATGCTTCAGTGTCCTCCTGTACAACACATGGTGAACCTGGCAGGGTTGAGAGCACATGGAGGCGCTGGTGTGGAAGGCCTGCCTGGCACTTGGCCAGCATGCAAAAGTGGCCCTCTGCCTTCCATGGCTTACGGACACATCTCTGGCCTTGTAGAACTCCAGGCCAAAAAGGACCTTGATAGTTGTTGAATGCTTCCTTTCATGTCACAGATGTGACAACATCCAAGGGAGTGCTTGGCTGTAGTCATTCAGCAGAGTTTGCGCCACAGTTGATACCAAAACCGGGGGCAACTCTCTCCCTGACTGTTGTGTCTTTGACACTTCTTTGCTGCCTGATTCTCTGAACTTGAGTTTATCAGCAGTAGGCTGAATGTGAAGCCCCATTGTTAACTGTCTTCTTCAACTGGTACCTTTAGATGCTGGGCCCACTGAATTTCATGACTCTTATGATCTCCATCTTCCTAGGCAATCTTGTGTCGTTATAATGAGGAGAGTCAAAAACATGCAGCCTTAAGCCTCAGCAAAGAGCATAATCCAACTCAGTATGAAGAGCGGATGAGGATACAGAAGGCTGGAGGAAACGTCAGGTAACCAGGAACTGAGAGGAGCTCTAAGGAAGGAGGGCTGTTGGCTGTAGAAAGGTCCCTGAGACCTTCAAGGAGTAGAACTTGCCATGTGACATAGTCTTCAGTGTGATGAGGCTGCGTCTGAGTTCTAACATTGGTGACGTAGGTGGATGACTGTTGTAGGATTTTACATATGTCCAAGTGGAAGGAAACTTGGCTCCCTACATTTGCAAAAGGACAAATTCATATTTGCCATTCACAGTGTTTTCTCTGTGCCTCGGAAGTTTCTTAAATACTGTCATTTGTTGCACTGAATAAGTTATGGTTTTAGGTGAATTCTCCAGAGAGAAAATCTGAAGTAGTTAAGACAGGTTCAGTAACGTCTTCTGACTTCTTGGGAGTAACTTCCGGCACAGAGGACCATGTCTTTCTTGGTTCTGTCTTTTGTGGTTTTATTTCACTGTCTCTTTAAAATCTTTGAAAACTGTATGTCTGCTCTGGTTTTATTACCTGCTTCTATCCAAGGCAGCTAAAGGAAGGCATATGTTTTTTCTTTAGAATTCCACTTCAAGGACACTGCATTATGGATTCCTCCAGAAGTTTTTTTCTGGTATTGTACAGTTTGACTATTGAAGTTTCATTTTCTGCCAGAGATAAGAAAGAGATCATCTCTTAGTATAAGACAGCACTTACCTGTCCTTTGAAGTATAGTTTCTCTTCTGTTGCTCATTTGGGAAAGTCTTTTTTATTGCTCCAGGCTGAATCTAGTTAGTGGGACAGGGAGATTTCTGGAGAGTAGCTGGAGCTACTACTATTGTTTGTTCAAAAAGCTCCCGGATGAGTAAGAACCAATTTTATTCACGTCGCTACAGTTCACATGAGCAGTGATGGGATTGTAGGGCTGGTTTCACGCCTCAAGTAGTGTTGTTTGCCCAATTTTTGCTGCCATAACCACTGTCCTAGTAACTATGGACAGTCATGCCTGAGGCTGTGACTCTAATTTGAGTGTAAGCATCACCTCTTCTCCCCTTTCTTGTAAGTTTTACATTCTGCTTTTGCCTGAACTACTTGAAAATAATTGGACACTGACAGTCCTATGGCTGCAAGTAAGGCTAATTTGTTGCAGTTGCTTCCTGTATCCCAGTCCCCACCTAATTCAGAGCAGTGTGTACATGCCTTAGAGTTACCATTTGACAGTGTGGGCTTGGGTGAACCCTTCATCTCAGAGAAGAGGGGCTGGAGGCTGCCCTTGAGCAGCAGAGCCCTGTTGTGGCCTGTTTTCCTGCCTGACCCCAGGGCTGGCTCCTCCACCCTCAGCTTTTATTATTGAATTTTGCAGACATACAGAAGAAACTTTGTGGTAGTAAAACAAACATTTCAAAATTTAGCAGTGAACATTTTGTCGTGTTTGTATAGATGTGTGACAGGTCGAGCTGTTTAAAAGTTGTAGACGTGGTAACATAACACTCTAAATACTTAAGCATGCATCTCTCAAAGATAAAGACGTTCTTGACATAATGAATAAGAATTTTCACACCTAAGACAGTAATATTTCCTTACGTTATGTTAGGTTATCTAATATCCTATCTACATTTTTATTTCCCGTGTTACCCCCAAATTTGTTTCAAACCAGGGTCTAGTCAGCATTCATGTCTGCCGTGGACTCGACTTGCATTTCTTTTTTTTGTTTTTGAGAGTGTTTCTTGCTCTGTTGCCTGGAGTGTAGTGTGGCACAATCACAGCTCACTGCAGCCTTGACCTCTGAGGCTCAAGTGATCCTCCAGCCGCAGCCTCCCAAGTAGCTGGGACCACAGGCCTGTGCCACTATGCCTGGCTATTTTTTTGTTTTTTCGGTAGGGGCAGGGTCTCTGTCTCTCTTTGTTTCCCACACCGAGTTCAAGTGACCCTCGTTCCTTGGCCTGCCAGAGTGCAGGGATTACAGATGTGAACCACTGCACCCTGACAAAACTCATTTCCTACCAGGCTTTGAACCATGTTATGGGCCAGCAGTTGTACAGAGTCCTCAGCATTCTGAACTTGCCTATTTCTTTATGGTGTTATTTCCACATATTTCCTATAAGCTGGAAGTTAGGTGTAAAGCCTTCTTTAGATTCAGATGAGGTGTTTTATGGGGGACGCTGCATACTCAGTAGTCCTTCACTTCAGTAGGCACATAACGTGACCCTTAAAGTTGCCAAATCCCAGCACTTGGCTTTGGTGGTAACAGCCAGATGTCATCAGTAAGTAATCTGGGGAGGTACACTGGTACCTTGTGAATATTCTGTTTCTTGTCAACCTTTCACCTAATGGTCTTAGCATCCCTAAATTATCATTTCATCAGAGATGTCAAAGATAATTTTTATATGTGTTGATTCCTTTCACACGTATTAGTGGCATTCTGTAAAGAAACACTTTTCATTATCAATAAGAGAACATAATTCTAAAAAAGCAGGGTAAATGTTTCATTCTGTCCTTTAACCACCAATTTGAAAGGAAGATAATCACCTGTAGTTGTGGAAATTAGTGTTTTTCTTTCACTTCTCTGCTTCTCTCCCTCCATCCTTGCCCTGCGAATCCCTGTGCCCACAGACTGTTGAGTGAGTGAGTTGTAGTTACAATCGTGGTATTTGCTGCTGTTCACTTTATCTCAGATGGGCCAGCTGCTTCCTGTGTCCTCTTCTTACGTGCGTATTAATGTTTAAGAACCAGAATCCAGGCTGGGTACAGTGGCTCACACCTGTAATCCCAGCACTTTGGGAGGCTGAAGTGGGTGGATCTCTTGAGCCTAGGAATTCAAGACCAATTTAGGTAACATTGGTGAAACCCCAGCTCTACAAGAAATAGAAAAAAAAGAGAGAATTAAGCCAGGTGTGATGCCACACACCTGTGGTCCCATCTACCCAGGAAGGCTGAGGTGGGAGGATTGCTTCAGCCTGAGAGGCAGAGGTTGCAGTGAGCAGAGATCGTACCACTGCACACCAGCTTGAGTAACAGCAAGACTGTCTCAAAAAAAAATATTACATCAGTGTAGTGTGGGTGGGGACAATTTTTTTTTTTAAAAAAAGAACCCAAATCCGTGTTCTTAGATGCTCAGTTCAGTTGAAGTTTCATTAGTTCTATGGCCACTCGAGACATACAGAGTTAGGAAACACAGCACATTTTAAATCACAAGCGTAGAGTGCTATTTCTTACTCATATTTAACATTACAGAGTTTTGTCTTCTTTGATTTAATATTTATAGCTCATTTTTCTTAATGTTGGAAATCTTGGTTCTTAACAACAGTATATTTATTTGTTAAAATGGTTTTACAGTATCAAAATTATCACTACTGGAGGAGCAGAAGGCTCACACCTGTAATTCCAGTGCTTCAGGAAGCTGAGGCAGGAGGATCGCTCCATGCCAGAAATTTGAGAGTAGCCTGGGCAACACAGTGAGACCTTATCTCTACAAAAAATAAAAACAGAAGTATGGAGCCAGATCTGGTGGTATACACCTGTAGTCCCGGCCACTCTGGTGGCTGAGACAGGAGGTTCTCTTTAATTTAGGAGTTCTAGGATCTGGTGAGCTATGATAATGCCACTGTACTCCAGCCTACGTGACAGAGTGAGACCCTGTCTCAAAAAATATATAAAAATCATCACTTTAGTTTGTGTTCCTTGCTGTTCTCTTGTCCTTAGAATATACCTCTCTAGAAAGATACTGTCCTCACTGTGTGCAGTATGTAACAGTATGGTTATTTTACCACTTTTTACTGTGGTTATTTTACCACTTGGCTTATTTGTTTTTCATCTGTTATTCAGTTTATTGTTTTCAGTTTATCTGATTTGTAAATGGCTTTTTCGCCTTTATATGTTATAGGGAGAAATTAGAACCCTTTGCGTGGTTGGTGGGAATGTGAAATGGTGTAGCCACTATGAAAAACAGTGTGGCAGTTCCTCAGACATTAAACACAGAGTTAGCATATGATCTGCAGTTCCACTTCTGGGTATGTACCCAAAAGAATTAAAAGCAGGGACACAAACAGATACTTGCACACCCATGTTCACAGCAGCGTTTTCCACCACAGACAAAAGGGAGAAGCAGCCCAAATGTCCATTGACAGATGAGTAGATAAGCAAAGTGTGAGATATCTCTATAACAGAATATTTTTTAACCTCAAAAAGGAAGGTAATTCTGGCTTATGCTACAAAATGGATGAACCTGAGGACTTTATGCTAAGTAAAAGAAGCCAGGTGCAGTCAGGCATGGTGGCTCACACCTGTAATCCCAGCACTTTGGGAGGCGAGGCAGGTGGATTACCTGAGGTCAGGAGTTTGAGACCAGCATGGCCAACATGGTGAAACCCTGTCTCTACTAAAAATATAAAAATTAGCCAGGTGTGGTGGCGGGCAGCTATACCCCCAGCTACTTGGGAGGCTGAAGCAGGAGAATTGCTTCAACCTGGGAGGTGGAGGTTGCAGTGAGCTGAGATCATGCCATTGAACTCCAGCTTGGGCAACAGAGTAAGACTCTATCTTAAAGAAAAAAAAAAAAGCCAGATGCAAAAAGACAAACACTCTGATTTCACTCATAGGAGTTACCAGTCAAGTTCATGGAAAGTAGGATGGTAGTTACTGGGAGGTACAGGGCATGAATTATGGGGTTAGGGTTAACGGGAACACTCTCAGTTTGGGAAGACAGAGAAGTTCTGGGGGATGGATGGTGTTAATGATTACACAACACTGATTATATTTACTGCTGCTGAACTGTATACTTCGAAATGGTTAAGATGGTAAATTTCAAGTATATTTTACCACAATAAAAAATGAAAAATTCCCTATCGTATGCTTCAAAATCTAAATTGAGTAAAAAGACATTTAGCGATGTCACGCTTTCATCCCTGTGTCCCCTTCATCCTATTTCTTGATTCCAGTATTTTTTTAAAAACTAAGTAAATCTTTGTGTAGTCTTAATTTTTTGTACTTTCTTACATTGAAGGTAGCTATGTAGCAGTGAATTTTCTGAGAATAAGACAAGTTTTATTTTTATTTTATAAGGAAGGCAGCTGAACAGATGGGAAGTTTACATATAGCATTTAAATTTAAATGTCAGTACTGTGTGCCTAGAACTTGATCAAGTGCAGGTCCCTCATAACTAAAAGTAACTCTTCTAGCATTGTACTTCGGTCATCTCTGTAGCACTCATTGTATTAATATGTTGGATTTAGGCATCTGCCAGCTTTTGGATGGTCAGGAGATGGCGTTCCCACCTCCCAACCTTAGCTTTGCAAACATCACTTGTGGATAGTCTATTTATTGAGACCCACTGCATCTTGCTTTTACTGACAGGCAAGAGGAGCTGAAGTCCAAGCCTTAAACACACAAGTAGTAGGATGTCTCAGTCTCACTCAGTCTCTCTCTCTGGAGGAAGAATTAGAACAGAAACTATCAACAACAAAAATAGCTAAGATCTGAAGACACTGTTGAACAGCTTGTCCAACAATAGGAAAACAGTTCTCTGGTTGGCAGAAAACAGAAGAGAAATAAGAGCACAAAACAAAAGTTGGAAGGGTGTAAGGGCAGGAGGCCTGTCCTAATGAGGGCTGGTACCAAGGGACAGGCAGATTGGCTTGGTAGGCTGAGACTTAAAAAGCTACTATCTGCTAAGCTTTGTAATTATGGGGGTGGGGGGAAAGAATGTTTGAACTTTGAAAACTGAGCAACAGGGAGAACGTGCTGTGAAACAGCTTTCTGTTACGTCTAGAGTAGTGCAGACTTTCTAAGAAATGGACATGGGTAGGGTATGTATTGGTGGTACACGCCTGTAGTCCCAGCCACTTGGAGGCTGAGGCGGGAGGATCATCTGAGTACAGGCACTCGAGCCTGTAATGCGCCACCATGCCTGTGACTAGCCACTGCACTCCAGTCTGAGTAGCATAGCAGACTGGTCTTCTCTTAAAAAAGAGTTCTAGTGAAATGGATCAAGCAAACTGGGAAGTACCAAGCCTCTGGGGCTCCTGGGGCTGAGTCCTGACCAGCCTCGTCAGTGGTGATCCTTTTGGACTTGTACCAACACTTGCCAAGGTAGAAGCGGCATGAATTTACCCTGTGTGATGCTCGGTCTCAGGGTTGGGACTCTGTGATTGGCGTTTGTTGAACTGACGGGTATTTGCACATGGTATCCTACGTAGGACATTGCATTGTGTGTAAGCATAGTGCCAGTCCGGCTTCCTGCATCATTACCAAACGCTTTTCCTGGGATCCATCATTCTGTCCATTGCTGCTTTCTCCTGTTATTCTAGCAGTTCAGTGAATGTAAGATTACTACTCTGTATGTGGAACTTTGAAAACAAGAATGAGAGGCTGGGTGTGGTGGCTCATGCTTGTAATCCCAGCACTTTGGGAGGCCGAGGAGGGTGGATCATGAGATCAGCTTGGCCAACACAGTGAAATCCCATCTCTACTAAAAATACAGAAATTAGCTGGGCGTGGTGGCAGGCACCTGTAATCCCAGGTACTTGGGAGGCTGAGGCAGGAGAATCACTTGAACCCCGGAGGTGGAGGTTGTTGCAGTGAGCTGAGATCGTGCCACTTTGCTCCATCCTGGGCAACAGAGCTAGACTCCATCTGAAGAAAATAAGAATGAGGCACATTATACCTGTAATCTCAGCACTTTGGGAGGCTGAGGTGGGAGGATTGCTTGAGGCCAGTTGTTTAAGACCAGCCTGGGCTTGGTGGCACCTGTAGTTCTAGCTACTCAGGAGGCTGAGGTGGGAGGATCACTTGAGCTATGATTACATGACTGCCCCCCAGCCTGGGCAACAGAGTGAGACCCTGTCTCTCTCAAAAAAGAGAGCGAGCGAGTGCCTGCAAGTGTGCACGCAGATCCCATGCTGCTCCTATTTCCTTCTTTAGACTTAGGAATCGTTTCATGTTTTCTGTACTGTGTTGTTCAGTACCAGAAGTTGCTGGTAACTACTTGATCTTCTGGGACCTACCATTGCAGAGGTGGTCATTGTATTCTTAATCTTGTTGAAACAGGATGGGTTTATGACTGGGATGGGGAGATCCACACCAGACACCCAATCATTTGGTTTGGGAGAGGTACTCTGTTGGCTTTTCATAGTCCTTAAACTGTGAGCTGCTTCCTGAACTGACAGCTCCTAAGGCCACCTGCCCCATGCCCATCTTTAGTCTTCAGCTCTTCCCCTGTACACTCTGGTTCCTCTTGCTGTTTGTTTTAAAAGTTCATATCCTAGAAGATCACTAGGCTTTTTGCAGATGCCAGTAGAAGTCTGTGAGGAAGAAAAAAACATGTTTGTTACGGAGACTGAACTTTGAGCCACTGAGAGGGTAACGGGCCCAGAGGAGGGCCAGGCTGAATTCTGCCTTTAGGACACCAGCCCAGGAAGCATTTCCTACCATGTGCATCCATCTGCACTGCATCTCCTGATGCATGGTCCATGATTTGGGAGCCCCCCAGTGATCCTAAACACCCACGCATAGCCATGGCATCTATGGAGTCCTCTTGGACTCCTTGTGGGTTCTCTTCCTGCCTTTACAAACGGGGGCCTGAAGGGGAGAGTGCTTGGCAGCTGCCGAAGGTGATAGTGCTACAGCCAGACCAGAATTGTTCTCTGGGGCAGTAGCCTCCCCCAAGTGGTTTTTCCTGGACAGTGGGACTGTGCCTTACGTGTCTCTTCCCATTTGTAGATCACTGCTCCATCTCCATATCCCCTCACCTAAAAATAGAATGGGGAAAACCATGATGCTATGCAGGGTACTGTCACTTACATGCCTGTACTTGATGCAGAGGAAATGTGCTCTGCAATCCAGGAATAATCACTTTCAGGGATTTTCCAAATCTAATTAGATTGAAATGTAAAATATCCCTCTGTTCTAGCTATTGTTTAACCCTGAGGCATGTGTGAAACTCTCAAGGAGCTTTAAGATACAAAAACACTGCCAGGCTCCCCCACGCAGTCCAGTCAAATTTGATTCTGGAGTTTGGGCCTAGATGTGTGATGAGAACTGCTGAGTCCAGCTGAAGGTTAGGCTGGGCAGTACTGTTTACCAGCCGCCAGAAATGCTATTCCCACCTTGTGCAGCTGGGCAGGCTCCCTACCCCAGGGCAGTGGTTAATGGCCTAGACATCCTTGTGTATTTGAGATCCAGAAATGTCAGTACTAGTTAATAATGTGAATTCCACAGCCTATATCTTTCACACTTCCATTCCCTGCTTTTTAAGGTGAGATTCTAAATAATGTGGACCCATGATCTGTCAGGAAGAGTCTGAAATGTTTTTCCTCTCATTTTAGGGATGGGCGTGTTTTGGGCGTGCTAGAGGTATCCCGCTCCATTGGGGATGGGCAGTACAAGCGCTGCGGTGTCACATCTGTGCCTGACATCAGACGCTGCCAGCTGACCCCCAATGACAGGTAAAGACCCCTACCAGAGGCACAGGTGTGCTTGCATGTGGCTTTATTTCTCTTCCTCATTTCTTCCGGTTTTCATCAAGCCTTTTTTGGAGGGAAGGTGTACATGCTGCTAGGCCCTGCAGGTGTAGAGATAAACAGAATGTGTGTGGTTTCTGCTCTGCTGGGGTCCACAGTGGTAGGGGAGCACATGTGGGGATGGGCAGTTGCAGTCTAGTGTGTCCTAGGCGTGTGCAGTGCGCTGGGGAACTTGGCAGTGGGGGAAGGCGTATCCCTGTCGGAGAGAGGAGAAGGGCCTTCCTGACAGAGGGAACACACTAAGGCATTTAAATGTGACAGTGTGAAAGCACACCCAGACAGGTGCTTGGAGGACCGAGACAGTGGTGGGAAAGTGAGAGCAGGGTGCTTTGGGGTCAGATTCTGAAGGGCCCTCAGTCCCATGCTGGAGAGTCTGAATTCTAGTTGATATTAGTGAAGAATCAGAGGAGGTTTTTATGCAGAACCAGGATCACTTGAGAAGGAGACTGTTCACTTGTTCATCTCCTGTTCTTCATACTTAAACATAAGGCACTGTGCTGGTGGAGGGCAAGGCCTCAACAGGTATGGTTAAAGATGGTATTATGGAGCTAGGGAAGCCCATGAGCAGCAGTGCAGCAGCCCTGGCCTGATGGTGAGGGCTGAACTAAGGCAATAGTAGGAGGAAGACGAGAGGAAAGCTGACGGAGGCAGGCTCCACAGCACTGAGGTGATGAGGGGAGGTGAGAGATGCTAGCGGCACTGTGGCGGGGAGGTCCTCTGAGCGCTGCTCTGAGTCCTGCCCCAGCGCTGCCTTGCTTTGGCACTCACTGGCTTGGCCTCTTCTCAAGCCATTGCCCCATTCTCTACATCTGCCTTCAGTGTGTTATGTTCTCATGTACCCCGGGGGGGTCCTCTATCATCTTTCCAGCAGCTTCCGCCTCTGGTTTTCTGAACGATGCCCCCAGGGCCCCATCTTGGCACCCTCTGCTTTGCCTCCTAGCTCCCCTTCCTGGGTTGCAATTATGGGTCTGTGTGATTGGTTATGTGATTGGTCAGGGCATGACTCTCGTTACACTAGAATGGGCAGGAGCTTGCTAGGACTAGGCCCCACTGTGTTCTTAGCACCGACCACCTGCTCAGCAAATAGTGGCTGAATGAAAGCCTAGTCAAAAGAGGAAAACAGGCTGGGCACAGTGGCTCACACCTCTAATTCTGGATCACCTGAGGTCAGGAGTTCGAGACCAGCCTGGCCAACATGGCAAAACCCTGTCTCTACTAAAAATACAAAAATTAGCTGGGCCTGGTGATGGGCGCTTGTAATCCCAGCTGCTCGGGAGGCCGAGGCAGGAGAATTGCTTCAACCCGGGAGGCAGAGGTTGCAGTGAGCTGAGATCATGCCATTGCACTCCAGCCTGGGCAATAAGAGTGAAATTCCATCTCAACAACAACAACAGCAAAAAGAAAACAAAGATCCAGTTATTAGAGTGAGAAAAGGAAGGTGGCTTATACCATAAAGCCATGGGGAAGCATATCCCCCACCCCCAATGCCGGGAGAACTAGAACTGTCACATCAAACCCACTGGTGTTCAGAAAGGTTCCAGGGGCAGTCTAGAGAGGGGCTGATTCTGAAGGAGAGAGCATGCGGTTTCAAACACAGGAACACCAACAGGCTGCCCGCTCCTGGACCTTACACTTGCATGCAGCCCCCAGGTTTGCAGTGTGCCTCATACTCAGCTTTATGTCTGGAAGTGGTGCAAGGCCTGTGGTGACATAAATTCTTGTATATTTACCATAACACCCAGTGTTTTTATTCAGTGATTTTCCTTGAGTTTGTCTAAGAAAGTACAGCACCTAATGTTTGAGGTAATTAACAATTCTGTTAATTGGTGAAGAGAAGGGTAGTCTCAGTTCTGATATATAACATTCTAGCCACAAATAGTTTTAAGTAGTTTAAACCTTTGTCTCAGAAGTTTAAACCTCTGTCACAGAAATTAAGTGGGTTTTCAAAAATCTTAGCCTGGCTTTGATGGCTCATGCCTATAATCCCAGTACTTTGGGAGGTTGAGGCAGGTGGATCACTTGAGTTCAGGAGTTCAAGACCAGCCTGGCCAACATGGTGAAACACCATCCTTACTAAAAATACAAAAAATTAGCCAGGCGATGTGGTGGGCCCCTGTAATCCCAGCTACTCGGGAGGCTGAAGCAGGTGAACACTTAAACCCGGGAGGCGGAGGTTGCAGTAAGCCAAGATCACACCATTGCACTCCAGCCTGGGCAACGAGTGAAACTCCATCTCAAAAAAAAAAAAAATCTTAGCCTTTGAAAAGTTGGACAAATATTTCTCTCCAGCTCCTTTTTGTGGGGTTGCACCTAAAACCGATTATATTCCTCCCTGGTGTTGTAGGTTCATTTTGTTGGCTTGTGATGGGCTCTTCAAGGTCTTTACCCCAGAAGAAGCCGTGAACTTCATCTTGTCCTGTCTTGAGGTGAGGAATCTCACACGGGAGTGGTGGTGGTTCCAAATGTGTCTTAGTTTTTGGAGAAGTAGAAGTCCTGACACCCCATGTCCTCCCATTGTGGGGCAGCCCTTCTGCCCTTTTTCAGTATGAACTCTGCCCACTGCACTGGTTAGTTTGTCCTGCCAGCACTGATGGGAGGCCAGAGCAGCTCCTCTTCTTGGCAGTAATGTCTGTGGAAAGTGACAGAGTGCAGGGTCACCCCATTCACTCATTCCCCTTCTTATCTGGTAGGATGAGAAGATCCAGACCCGGGAAGGGAAGTCTGCGGTTGACGCCCGCTACGAAGCAGCCTGCAACAGGCTGGCCAACAAGGCGGTGCAGCGGGGCTCAGCTGACAATGTCACCGTGATGGTGGTACGGATAGGGCACTGAGGGGTGGTGCGTGGCCAGGAGCACCCATCGTATTGACTTAAAAGGTTCATTTTGTGTGTGTGCACATTGTGTGTTTTGTGTACTCCTGTGGGACTCCCATGGTTGTAAATAAAGGTTTGTTTTTTTTTTTCCTAGTCTTTTGAGTGATTATACTTTGAGCACCTCTTGACCCTTCAGAGATGGTGTTTGCTTTTGAATATGCTGCCTTTTCTTGTTAAAACCATTATAAGCGTCTTGGACTGGCTCATGGTGACCTGCAAGCTGCTTGTTGTGTGAGGTTTTATAATTCACAGGCGTTCTGCTGTGCTTTCACCCTCACAGTGACTGGTGGCAGAAGTGGCATGTTGCAATGAAGGGACGGTGGGGTTGGCTGGTTAGAGACAAGGCTAGGACCGGACCAGAGCTTTTGAAATCCTGTAGCTCTTTTCAGTTTTCCATACAGAAATACTGTTGCAAAATGTTGCATAGCGCGAGCTCAGGCTTAGCCAGGAATAGACTGATATACAAGGTTATTTGTGCATCAGACCCTCTAGAAACAGTCCAGAATTCACAGTTCTGATTCTGTTGGTGAGAGCTGCAGTCTGGCGGAAGGAGTTTGTGGAGGACTAGGTTTGGTTCAGTGGCTTCCATCTGGGCCCCAGGGTGCAGGTGTGCACCTTCCTGTGGGGGCAGGCAAGCCTGCTGCCCAGCATGGCTTGGGAATTCTGCTTCCCACATGAGGAGGTAGTGTGGGCAGTGGACCCTGTGCTGGACTGAGGTTCGTCTTTGCAATAACACCTCAGAGGGGGACCCTTCTGTGAAAAATGTTAAAAGCGTGAAGAGAGTGTATGAATAAGCAGCTCAGAAGAATAAGCTTTAAAATACTTCTCAAGCACTTGTTTATATAGAAAACATGTCATTATGACTGTAAGTAGTTTTTAGTAAAGCAGCTCTCAGATCCTTTTGTGTAAATGTTTGGCTCTGGATGAGGTAAGATTCTAAAAATTTGCATTTTCAGAATCTGTTTTGTAATGTTCCCTGGCCCCCACCCAACACACACATATGGTTTTATCACCCACTTGATTCAGCGAGTGGAATTGGTATCCATGCCATAAGCACCTCATTGCTAAATGCTTCATGGAAACCTTAGGTGACTCCTGGGGTCTAAGTAAAAACTGAGGTGTTGGTGCTGCCCCTTCCCCAGGGAGTTTTAAGATCCAAGTAAGTATCCATTTCAGTTTGAGGACTGGGACATTGTACGGTGTGGCATCATTGAAGAAAAGAGCTCTGGCACCCCAGCAAACCAGGTATTTGCACAGTGATGTCTGTGACTCATCCGTCCCTATATCCCACTGTCCCCGAGAGCCTGGACACTGGCTTCGAAGGAAGGTTCACTCTCAGCCTTCAAGTCCCTCCCATCTAGAGGCTGGAGGCCATCTCCACCTCACCTTCCATGTTCCTCCTTGCTGTGCTTAGTGAACCCGGGTTAAAGGGTGGATTCTGGCTCTTAAGGCCTGCCATTTGTTTTCTAACTAACTGTCGCGTCACACAGTTCTTAAGTACTTGAGCCACCCCACGAAGTCAGTATTAGACAATAAATACTTTAATTGCTGTAGAACACAGAAAATGAAAGACGTGGAATGTGGCTTTTTCAAGAGTAGAAGATACGTTCTCTAAAATAGCTGTGCCCAGTGGATACAAAGTGAAATCTAGATAAGGGTGTGGCCACATCACCCCCTTATCAAAGTGCACGGGATACAGTACCCAGGCAAGCCCAGTAGTTCCAGGTAGGGTGGGTATAATTCCTACTGAGAATCGTTCCAGGCCTGCCCCAGGGCAGAGTGGTTGGTTTTTGTATATCACTGTGCTTGGGGATGGAGATGCTTGATTCGGAGTTGGGGTTTGGAAGCTGGGCTCCTGGGGATCATTCAGGCCTGGCAGTGGTCACCTCAGCTGGAGGCCAGCTAGAAGGTGAAGGTGACTGGCCATTGCTCCCTTCTCTCCCAGGCCTGAACACCCTGCCAGACCAGCTTGGCTCCCAGGAGGGCCTGAGATACCAGGTCCCTGGTAACCTTTTGTGTGGGGAGGTGGCAGGTTAACCCGTCCTCAGCAGGTAAAAGGCCCTGAAGGTCGCTGCCTACTCTAAGACAGTCCTGCACTTTTTGGGGAAAATGTGAGAGGCTACATTTGAGGAGGCTGTGGGCTCACAGCCTGTGTCTCCTCATGAGAGCTGCCCTCCCATACCCCGTCACTGCCACAGGAGCACAGGCTTGGGACCAGCCCTCCCGAGACCACCCTTTCTCGAGACTCTCTTGTCTACCACTTGTCCAGTCTCAGAGCCGCATCACCACCCAAGTGGTAAAGATGCTTGGAAGGCTCATCCCAGAGCCACTGGACCTGGCCAGGCCCTGGCATCCCTTCAGGAAGCCTCTGCTTCAGCTGTTCGGCTGATGGGTCAGCAGACCTGAATGTCTCCAATCTATAAAGACATTCTAGATCTTTCCACTGGTGGGTGGATCCTAGCAGTGAGTCAGTGCCTTACAGGGGAGGGGGAAAGGGATCTCATCCGCCTCTGGAGAGGATAGAAGGGGGCCTTGGCTGTGAAAAGACTTGCAGAGGAGGGGAAGAGCAGAGCTCCCATTTGGAAAGGCCTTCTGAGGTGAATCTGTGAGTTAATCTTACATACATTAGAACTGGGACCTGCTCCTGAAAGTTGGGTCCAGACTCACTGTCCCCCAACGGACCCTGTCCAGTGTCCCTCTGGCCCAGGCTAAGCAGTGCTCAGCTCCACTGGCAGGTGGAGCATGGCTAGGGAAAGGGCAGGGAAGACCAAGGAGCCCAGATGGAGACCAGGGGAATGGTGGGGGACCCTGTCCCTTCTGAGCAGTAACATGCAGCATGCTTCCCTTTGGCGCCCCCTCAGCCCTGCACCAGTGTACCCTCTTCCAGGCAGGGTCCCCAGCCAGTGTGCTGGGCCCTCTGGCTATCACCCACTCTTCATGAGAGCATGAAGAGAGGTGGAATAGGTGGGGCTGGGCTGCAGGAAAGATGCAGAGGCCATCTGGGCAGGTGCTGAGCAGGCCAGGAAAGAGCCAGCCTGCAGCTGGGGACTAGCAGGTGCCCCAGGCACACCTACCATTTCCTAGGTAACAGTCCAACAGGGCTTCCCCTTTTAAAAGATGGTGTCCTGAATCACGGCTCTGGGACCACCTCCGCAGGCCTGCACGCTGTGGCTCTGTGGGCTGAATTGCAGCGGCCGGTGTGGGGAGAGTTCCGGGTGGGCCTCCTGCACGCGGCCACTGCCACTTGACACTGTCCACACAGTCTAGACCTCTGCTCCGTTTGCCCGTGAGAGGAAAGGGCTGTGGTGGCCGCTCACACGCCCAGGAGGATAGCGCTGAAGTGGGAGCCGCTGCGTACTGTGAGGGAGGAGCCGCTGGCGTTGTCCAGGAAGACGGAGGCCCACTGTCCCATCTGCAAGGAGGGCGCCTTTAAGGCACTGGGGGGCCATCCCAACAGCCTGCAGAGGCGACCCAGGTGCCAGCCAGCCACACTCCTGCCCACTCAGCCCTGAATGTGAGAAGGGCCCAGGCCAAGAGAAGCATGTGGCTGCCAAGGCCACAGCAGGGGCACATGTGGCCTGGGCCCCACCCAGCACCTCTCACTCCTGCTTTCCCCACAGCAAGCCAGTACTCAGGGCCAGAACTGGATTCAAGAGTCCAACAGGTTTCTCAGCTGCAGGGCTTCTCAGAGCCTATAAGGCTCCAAGTCAGGTGGGAGGGTGGCCCTTCACCACAGGCCCGGCCCTGCGGTCATTTGGCAGAGCCTTCCATGAAACCAGCACTATCTCCTGGTTGCTCCAGATGCCCGTGCACCAGCAGTGTCACATCCCCCGCGAAGTCCCAGAAATGCATAATCCAGGGATCCACCCAGACCTGCCTCAGGATCTGCATCTTAAGATCCAAGTGGTAGCTGGGTGCGGTGGCTCACACCTGTAATCCCAGCATTTTGAGAGGCTGAGGCAGGCGGATCACAAGGTCAGGAGATAGAGCCCTTCCTGGCTAAAGTGGTGAAACCTGTCTACTAAAAATACAAAAATTAGCTGGGCGTGGTGGCACGTGCCTGTAGTCCCAGCTACTCAGGACGCTGAGGCAGGAGAGTTGCTTGAATCTGGGAGGCAGGGGTTACAGTGAGCTGAGATCGTGCCACTGCACTCCAGCCTGGGCGAAGAGACTGTCTCCAAAAAATAAAGTCATCCAGGTGGTGCACAGACCATGTGTGTTCACCAAGCACGCTGTGCGGCACCCACACGGACCTCGAATGCTCTCCTGACAACCAGAGACGCTGGAGCCTGGCCTCCATTTCTGGCTCTGCTGTGTGAGCTTGGGCAAACTGGGTGAGTAGCACCACCTTCCCCAGAGCTCTGGGAGGATTCAAGAGCAGCTGTTAGGCTACACACCTGCACTCAACTTTTTTCTTTGTTAATAAATTCCACCTTTATGTCAGTTTCTCTACCACTTGCCAAAATTCCCATGGTGCCAGAAAGACATGATCACTTAGGGTTTTAGTAGGAAAATAACATCTCTGGCTTCCCACGGTCACGGGACACAGGGTGTCAGCCTGGGCAGAGCGCTGGCCTCTATTCCCTCCCTCCACCAGTCCCTTAAACAGGCCTGTGGTGGCCGGAAGTACCAGGCCTCTGCGAGGTGCTCGGGAAGTCTGAATACTGGGGTACAGGGCAGAGCAGCTGCTCAAGTGGCCGGGCCCCTCAGGGAAGGGCTGTTAGGAGGAAGGAAATCAGGACTTGAAGCCTGGCTGTGCCCACACCAAGGTGGGCACTTGGCATGTCCTGGACCCTTTCGTAGGCCTGAAGTCTGAGGGTGCTGCACCTGGTGATCCTGAGCACCTAACAGCACCCTTCTGTACTCAGCCACCTATGGCCATGCACAGGTGGTGCCCCTCCATGCCCAAGCCTGCCCCACTTACCTGCAGGTACAGGACACCATTCACAGAGATGGTGAAGAGCTCACTGCTGCTCTCCAGGCCCATGACAGCCTCCAAGGAGCTGTGGCCAAAACAGAAAGAGGGTCAGCCTGCCCCAGGAGACACCACCAACTTCACCGACACACAATCCTGCCAGCAGCCAACACGCCCAGCAAGGTGCCTGGCCTTGGCCAGACCTTCCGGTGGAAGTGGTATCTGAACTGAGTCCCAAGAGGAGGAAGGAGACAGGGTCACAGGTGCCTGCAGTATTGGGAAAGGCAAGGCCAGAGCCCAGCAAGGGGCAGCAGAGCCCTGGCTCAGCTGGGAAACAGGACCCAGAAGTGGGGATGTGGTGGTAGGTGATGCCAAGTTGGTTCAGGCCACCACACTCTGGGGGTTCAAAGCCAGACTGAGCAGTTTGGACTGATCTGTTCATTCCCATCTTCTCCAGCTGTCTGCAGAGCATCTGCACTGTTCCTGGGTGAGGGGTGGGACGGCAACTGAGGAGGGGGCATCCAGGAAGCTGTCAGGAGAGGCCACGTGGAGTAATACAGGTGCTTGGGGCCCCAGAATGAAAGTCCCCAAGGTGGGAAGGAGATGGGAGGCTGGGAGGAACTAGGCCTCTAGGACCTGGGGAGGTGAAGGTCTGGGCAGGGAGTGGCCTGGAAAGGTTTTTGTTTTTTTTTTTGACACAGTCTCACTCTATCATGGAGGCTGGAGTGCTAATGGCACGGTCTCGGCTCACTGCTAAGTCTGCCTCCAGGTTCAAGTGATTCTCCTGCCTCAGCCTCCAGAGTAGCTGGGATTACAGGTGTACCACACTCAGCTAATTTTTTATTTTAAATAGAGACGGGGGTTTCACCATGTTGGCCAGGCTGGCCTCGAACTCCTGGAAAAGGTTATTTTTAACAGCTGCTTGCTGCGAAGAGGCCTGATTGGGGGCAAAAGTAAACGGGTAGACCAGGAAGGAGGTGTGGTCAACCAGGCCATGGTGGGGTGGGAACAGGCCGAAGCCCGTTTAAGAGCCCCGAGCTTGTGGAGGCTGAGTGCACGTGGGTGTGGGGTCCGGACCGGGGCTCACTCACGCATTACGCTGGCACTGGGACTGGATGCAGATGAGTAGGCGCAGGCGGTCCCGGGGGCGCAGCGGCCCCCTCCTCGGCGGCTCCCCGAGCGCTGCGGGGCACAGTAGGGTGTGGTTACGCAGGAGGGCGCCAAGGAAGGGCTGGCGGCAGGGCGGGCGGTCCCCCCATGCCCGGGGCTCACCTACGTGCAGCGTGGCGGCAAGCGTGTAGAAGCCAGTCACGGGCGCCCTGTACTGGCCACTGGTCAGGTTCAGGCCAGGGCCGCGGTGGAAGGCACCCTCGGCGTCAGGCTGTGGGGGGCACGAACAGTCAACCTGGCTCCCGCCTGGCCGGCCCCACGCCCCTCCCGCGCACCCGCACTCACCAGGTAGTAGGCACCAATCTCGTGTAGCTCACGCCGCTCCACCGACACGTCCTGGCGCAGGCGGCAGTGGAAGGCGGCCTCCACGCGCGGCGGCCCCGGGGCCTGGGACGCAGCCAGCAGCGCCAGCACAACCTCCGCCGCGTCATCGTCATCCTCCCTGGCAGAGGCCGAGACCGGGGCGAGGCTCGCGGCGACTGGCCCAGCGGGGCCGCGCGTGCAGGGTCTGGGCTCCGCGCGCTCCCGCTGCCGCACCGCACCTGGCACAGAGTGAGCTGTGGCTGCGCACCGGGCACCTCTCACCCGCTCGCAGTGTGGGTCCAGCCCCGAATGACGGGCGCAAACAGGGCTGGGGCTGGGGCAAGGGCAACGCCGACGCCGCCTTAGCCTGCAGGGCCTCGGACCTTTGCTTCCTGACCCCGCAGTGGCTCGTTTCCCTCACGCTTTGGGAAGCTAGGGCAGAAGGGCCTCACCTCTACCCCACCCATATTTTTCAAAGAAGCTGGGGGCAAAATAAGCGATAGCAGCTTCACTGGAAGTTACAAGGAGGTTCTTCAGCGCAGAAGGTGCTATATTTAAACCAACAGGACATTGAACTGAAGGGAAAACCGGCTCACTATGACTAACGTGAGCAGCCACTCTGCAGCGGGCCTTCGCGGACTCCACAGCTGGGCTCAGCTCTACCTCCTCCGCACAGGCTGCCCCAGCCCGCGCCAGTGGTGACTGTGGGTGCCAGGCTGAGGTCCACCCGGTGCTGCCCCATATACTAGCCTCTGCCTTTCGCTGGGCTCCCGACTCCCAGGCAGGGCAGGGGCACTGGTCCCTGAGTACCCGCCACACTGGCCAAGTACACCTTCCTCTGTGGAGCCTCCTCCTGGCCATGCCCCCCCAACTCCCAGACCCCCCTCAGCCCTGACCCTTGGCAGACCTGGGCCAGCTTCACTGTTCTGGAGTCCAGCCTGGAGCAGGTACCTCCTTGGGTGTCTGCTGAAGTGCCAGGACACCCTCCCAGGCCCTGCTCACAGGGGTATGTGGGTGCCTGAACCGGGGCACACCCCTACCTTTCAGCAGCAGCTGGAACTCCTTCAGCAGTGCCTCGGGTGGGATGGTGGGGCCTGGGGGGCCCTGGGGACCGGGAGGCCCGGGGGGCCCTGGCAAGCCGAACTGAAAGGGAACCTTGGCTGTGAGGACACATGAGGAGCAGGCGGGGACCCCCGGCATCTCCTGTGCAATCTCTTGCCACTAAGAGGCAGGCAAGAGAGCTCAGTGGGCTCCAGCCTCAAACAGTGAACGCTTCTCCTAGAGTGAGCACGAGGACAGAGTTGGAGATGGGGGCCCTGGGGCTGGGGAGGGCTCTGCTCTGAGGGGGAAGCAGCGGGCTAAAGCCGCTCCTGTGGCCAGGCCTGGAGGGAGGAAGAGTCCAGGCTGCTTTTGGGGACTTGCATCTCAGGGTCTGCACTGGGCCAGGGTCCACTATCAGCAAGTCCCCACTAGGCTGGGTTGGGACCCGAAACAGGAGCCAGTGAACCCCCTTCACGGAGGAGCTTAGGGCAGGGTCAGGAAACTTGGGCAGAGGTGGGAGGCCAGGCCATGGGGACAGCCCAGCCTGTGCACCTGCCTCATGTGCTCCAAGCTGGCCTCCCATGGTGCGGTCAGATCCCAGGCAGTGAGACTGGCCCCAGGAGACCGAGAAGCCTGCACCCCGTATGTGCCTTCTTGGGACTAATAGGAGGCAGCTCCAGGACCAAGCGTGAAGTTTGTGCCCAGGCAAAGACCCAAGGCTGAGTGAGCATGGGAGCCCCGTAGCCACCAGGACTCCATGCCCCCCCAGCCCCTGGGAGCCAGACACTCCTGCAGACATGAGCAAGGCCTCACCCAGCCTCCCTGGACAGGACGCAGAGGGAGGAAAACAGAGGCAACCACCAAGTGCCTGGCATTCTAGGGGTGTGGGAAAAAGGCTGGGACCAGGCCCCTAACTCTGGGCTCCCCTTGGGACCACCTGGGTTCTTCCTCTGTGTTCTCTGTCCCCAGGTTGAGGCATGAGAGGTGTGATTGGAAATGGTCAGGATGTAGTGGGAGTGGGTGAGGAGCGAGCAAGCAGCTCCCCACGGCCTGGTGCTGACAGGATGCCGGGCTCACCTTCAGCTTCTTGGCCTTGCCCCTGCTCCTCCTCTTGCCATTGACACCCTTGTCACTCTGTCTGACAAAAAGCATCCAGGCGTCCCGGGGGTCGACGCTGTGTGCACGTTCAGCTGTGGGTTCCTGGAACACAGCGAGCGCAGCAGGGCGCTTGGCCTCACGGGCTTCAACTAAGCAGGTGGGACACTGCAGGAGGTGACTCTGTGGCCTTCTGCACTCTGGGACTCTGGGGGATCCTTGTCACCTGGGGTGCCCTCAAAGGCATCTCCCAAAGGGGTCCCCACCCCTCGCACCTTCTCCCCCAGCCCATGGAGGACTCCTAACGGAGGACTCCTACCATGGCCTGGACTTTGCTCTCATGGGAGAGGCAGACCGAGGATGCAAGGAGGGAAGAAGGGGTGCAGGGCTCGGGTGCAGGGGTGAATGCCTGCACTGCTAGTCCTCCTTCCTCCAGATGAGCTGCAGTGACCACACCATGCTCCAGTCACCGGGAGAATCCCGCCACCAGGACACCCATAGAGGCTCATGAAGAAGCACCTGTGATTATCAGGAATCCCACCTACTAGCTAACCCTCCTCTGTCCATCCCCCACCGTCAGAAGTTCTAAAGAGGCAAATTCAGCCCTCACGGCTGCCTCGGGTTACAGTCCAGTAGGAGAGGGGACCAGGTGAGCTGTCATAACTCGAGGCCTCTGCATGGGACGTTCACTTCCTCAGCACCTCTGAGACACTGACTCAAGCAGGGACAGTGATGCTTCTGGAAGTCCCCATTCCTGTCTGTGCTGCATCCTGGCTGATGCTGATGCTGACACTCAGCATGGTTCTGGGAGGAACCTTCCTGGGAGAGGCCCTGGGCCCATTGGGCTGTTTGGGCTCCAGGCAAGGCTGCAGCTGGGAAGGAAACCGGCCCAGGAGGGCTTAGATGAGGTCATGGGCGCTGACTCGGGAGCTGATGGGCAGACCCTGTGATTTGAGAGCTGACCAGGCCCTTTTATCAGAGATGGAGCCAGCTGCCAAGTCACTGCCCTTGGTTCCTGGCTGCTCTGGGGGGACCCAGGGCCTTCTTTTGGGAGCTGGCTGACCAGTGCACAGGCCAGGGTGCTGTGGTGGGAAGATGAGGGCTGTGGTGCCAGAGGAGCGTGTGGTTGGATGGAGAGGATCCAGGGTGCCCAGGCTCCTCAGTGCTGCCCGGCGCCTTGCAGGGTCAACTGCACCAGCTGCCGCCGGCTCTCCACCACCCCCACCCTCTTCACTTTACAGCCTCAGGGTGCCCTCAGCGGAAACAGCTTCGAAGATTCAGCAGGCAGGCCAGGAGAGGTGTGCCCAGCTGACCCTTCCCGCCCCTGTAGCCTGTGGGTGGATCTGACCCCAGTGTGGTTTGGGGGTAGAGCTGTAACAGACAGAGCCATGTTAGCTGGGGTCCCAGGAGATTGCCCTAGCAGTGGGGGCAGCTGCCCTGGTTCTGGCCACAAGCCATCTCTCAGAAACAAGCCTTGGAGCCTGGGAGTGCCTCTGGCGTGACCTTGTGCCCCCAAACAGGGTCCAAGGCCAAAACTCCACCTGGAAGCACCTGAGCCTGTCCGCCTCCTGCTGACCATGCTGCTGTGCCCACCTGGGTGGTTTGGCCAACCGTAGGGGAGGGGGTGCCTTCAGCCCCTGGGAAGTGACTGGGGGTGGTGGGGCTGGGATTGAAAACTCCGGAGGATCTTCAGAGTAAACAGCACCTGTGCCCACCCACCTTCCCTGGAGAGCTCTCTGCCTCCCTGACCCAAGGCCCGGCCACACTGGGGCTCCTCTGAAGCCCTCCCCTCCCCAGGCCTGGGCCACACCTCCCTAACCTGACCACCCTCTGCTCAGCAGTCCAGGCTCCAAAACCCTGAAGCGGAGGGGGCAGGGCAGAGCTCAAGATCACCCCTTCCCGGCCAGGAGCCACAAGTCACTGCCCACCCTAACAGCACCCTGCCCCCACACCCGCAGGTTTTTGTTGTTTAGAGAGCTGCACCATAGATTGGGGGGGCGGTGGTTAATTTCTCACACTTCCTACAAGCGCGTTCCTCCCAAGTTCCTCAAGTTATTTACACTTTACCTATTTCTCAATTTCCTTCCTGTCCCAAAAGAAAAGGGGTTTCCGCCGACCCCGCAGAACCTCGCTTTAAGTAAAAGAACGACCCCAAAGCCAAGGTCAAGGCTGCCCCTAGCAGCGCCCCGCCGGGCCGAGGGCGGCGTCGACCAGGCCCTAAGTCTCGGCGGAGCCCGGAGCCCCGGAGCCGGGCGTTGCTGCCGCTCTCGGGGTGAACGCGGGCCTGGCCTCCCCGCCCGCGGCCGGGGCTTGCTGGCTCCTGCTGGGTCCGCAGCGCGCCCGGGCGTCTTACCGGAGGATGAGCGGCCAGCCCCGCCCGGCTCTCCCCGGGGCCCCGGGGCAGCTCGTTCCCCGGTGGCGGCTCCTCGCGGGCGCGACTCTTCGAGGGCGCCCCAGGCTCGGGGGAGCCCAGGCCCGCGGCGGCGGCCAGCAGGCCCGCGTACAGCAGCAGCAGGCGGGCTCCGGCGGGGCGGCGGGCCGGGGCCATGCAGGCGGCGGGTCGCTCGTGGCTCCGGGCGCGGCGTTTCGGGCGTCCCGGGCTCCCCGCCTTATAACGCGCTTGAATCCCCCGCCTCGCCCGAGACCGCGCCCCCTCCCGGCTCCCGCGCGCGCTGCAGGGGGATGGGGGCGTGTCCGCGCTGGGCGGGGCGGGGCGGGGGGCGCGGGCGGGCGGTGCAGGGAGCGGGAGGGGTGTTCCCCTGCTGGGCGCTACCCCAGTTCTGGGGTCCCTCCTTTGCGCTGTCCGGCGCTTCTGCTTCCTGGGGAGCGAGACGCCCCTTCTCCCGGCCCTGGACCCTCAGCCCGGGGATCCAGGCGCTGCCTCCTCCCACCCGGCCCGAGGCATCCTCTCTTCCCTCTCCGTCGCCCATGTCCTCTGCAGGGACCCCTGAGGTACCCCCTCCCCATTCGGCCCAGGCCTCTGCGACACGAATAGAGCAAACCGGAGCCATGAGACCCTCAGGGCCCCTTCTCCTCGCCCCTTTCCCAGGCAGGAACTCCCCCTTCTCTCCATAGCTGGGGTGCTCTGAGCGCAGGGACTCACTGTTGCTCCGCACCCCGTGCACCTGCAGGGACCGAGGGGACGCCAAGAAACAACTCAGGACAGCAGCCCTGCCTTGATGGGGCAGACTGTGGCCTGGGCTGGGAGCGGGCTAAAGCCGCTCTTGTGGCCAGGCCTGGAGGGAGGAAGAGTCCAGGCTGCTTTTGGGGACTTGCATCTCAGGGTCTGCACTGGGCCAGGGTCCACTATCAGCAAGTCCCCACTAGGCAGGGTTGGGACCCGAAACAGGAACCAGTGAACCCCCTTCAGGGAGGAGCTTAGGGCAGGGTCAGGAAACTGGGGCAGAGGTGGGAGGCCAGGCCATGGGGACAGCCCAGCCTGTGCACCTGCCTCATGAGCTCCAAGCTGGCCTCCCATGGTGCGGTCAGATCCCAGGCAGTGAGACTGGCCCCAGGAGACCGAGAAGCCTGCACCCCATATGTGCCTTCTTGGGACTAATAGGAGGCAGCTCCAGGACCAAGCGTGAAGTTTGTGCCCAGGCAAAGACCCAAGGCTGAGTGAGCATGGGAGCCCCGTAGCCACCAGGATTCCATGCCCCCAGCCCCTGGGAGCCAGACACTCCTGCAGACATGAGCAAGGACTCACCCAGCCTCCCTGGACAGGACGCAGAGGGAGGAAAACAGAGGCAACCACCAAGTGCCTGGCATTCTAGGGGTGTGGGAAAAAGGCTGGGACCAGGCCCCTAACTCTGGGCTCCCCTTGGGACCACCGGGGTTCTTTCTCTGTGTTCTCTGTCCCCAGGCTGAGGCCTGTAACCTCAACACTGGGAGGCAGAGGTAGGTGGATCACTGGAGGGTCAGGAGTTCAAGACCAGCCTGACCAACATGGTGAAACCCCATCTCTACTAAAAATACAAAACTTGTGCCCTAACAGGGGTGTGGGGACAGACCAGACCAAAAGCCAGGCTGCCCATCGCCCACCAGGGCCAGTGCCCCCAGAGGTGGATAGATAGACCCTGCAGGCCTCAGAGAAAGTGGCAGAGAGGCCTCTGGGCGCCCTCCCAGGAAAGAGCTAGACCCCAGCCCCACCCCACCCCTGGCTTCGTTATATCACATGCCCTTTTGGCTATCTGCCCCCCACGGGATGCTAAGCCAAGGAGGGTCGCACACCTGGCTTGCTTGCCCCAGCCCCGGAGGCACCTGCCCCTGGTGATACACAGGGTTTTTTGTTAAAGAGCAGGAGAAGGCTCTGCTAGAAATGCGCCCCCCGCCCCCGCTCACGCCCAGGGCGGCTGTTCACCTCTTTGGAGAAGAGGCCTCTGGGGAAGCAGAGGCCTCGCCCTGTCCTGGTTCACAGGATGTGGCAGCAGGCACTGAAAGGGGTAGGTGGTGCCCCTCCCCAGGCTTGGGGGATGGGCCAAGGTCAGTCCTCAGAAGCAAGCTGGCCTTTGTCACCTGCCTTTTCTGGCCACTCGTGTTCCACCTGGCTGGCCTCATGCCTGGCAGGTGGGGAAACCTGGAAATACCTCATACTTCAGGAAAAGCATGGGGTCAGAAGGTGATCATTCCCTGTGATCCACCTCTTAGGATATGGGAATAGTGTAGAGTTGGGTGGAGTGGGTGTTTAAAGAAAAGCATACCCTGCCCCAATGAGAATCTGTCCCACAGGGGTCGGCAAGTCCCATAGACTTACTCCATGCTAGAGAGAAGTCCTGCCTTTAAAAGCCACAAACGGGCCTGCCTGTAACCTCAACACTGGGAGGCAGAGGTAGGTGGATCACTTGAGGGTCAGGAGTTCAAGACCAGCCTGACCAACATGGCGAAACCCCATCTCTACTAAAAATACAAAACTTAGCCAGGCATGGTGCCTGCGCCTGTAATCCCAGCTACTCAGGAGGCTGAGGCAGAATTGCTTGAAGCTGGGAGGCAGAGGCTGCAGAGAGCTGAGCTCATGCCACTGCACTCCAGCCTGGCCCCTGGCAAAAGAGCAAGACTCTGTCTCAAAAAAATTAAAAAAAAAATGCAATTCTTTAGGAAGACATTTGAGAAATATGAGAAACACTGGCTGAGGTCATAAGTGCCCAGCAAGATATCTGAACTTACTCCACCTGCCAATATTCTGCAGGTTTGTCACAATTAAGGACATTTGCTCCCAAATTCATGCATGTAACGGGAATGTTTTAAAGCCCTCAAAGCATGAAGGTCCCTCTGGTGGGTTTTCGCGTCTCGTTCCATTGGAATGTCTATTAAGAGGCCTGATGTGTGGAACTTTGTCATATGTCTGAATGTGACATGCACATTCAGTGTCATGTGTTAACATTTCCTTCAGTTTCACTTACTCAGAGGGCCCGTGTCTGTGGCCCACAGCACCAGGCGTGGGATGCTCTCCTGGATTCTGCTGGTAGAGAGGGGCTCCTGTTCCCAGGAGATGCAGCTCTGTGAATGGTACCTTCTTGCTTCTGGAAAAGCTCATCCACATCAACACCTCATTCCACTTCCCACCAATTAGCCCAGAAAAGTAGGCAGCTTGGCCAGGACGCAGCCCATGGGCAGAGCTGGCATGGGGCTGGAGAGGCGCTCCTGCCCACTAGGCAGGTTACATCTCCATAGTCTTATGTTTTGCTCGTTAGGGTTCCCCCTATTCTACTTGGTATGAAATAAGAGCTCTGGGATGAGCTGGAGCATTACTGCAGAAGCGAGGCCCTGTGGGCAATGGACATCTCACAGCCTGAATTCCCTTCGGGGCCCTGACTGCCGCTGTGGCTCAAGGTGGAGGCTGTTTGGCCCCTCTCGAGCCCTGGGAAGGTGAAGCTCAGGCTCTGCCACTGCTGGCAACACTGAGGACACGCAGGGATGAGATGTCCCGATTTGGGGAACATGACCCTGAAGATACTGGTGTGATGTCACCCCACTTCACAGTGGGGGGCCCAGCTTTCAGGCCAGCATTGAGGACAGGAGCTGTTGCCATGTGAAAAAGTTATTTTCCCAAACAATGAACAATGCTAGTGATGTCATAGGCCCTGCCAGAGGGCCCAAATCAAATCGGTTCTGGTGCCGGGGCAGCCTCCTCTAACACTGTCACGAGGGGATGGCACCGCCTGGGCTGGGGGTGGACAGAGAGAGGCTGGGGGCTTCGGCGGGGCCCCTGCATGGCCTGTGGTCACATTTCAAAGGGGCTTGCACTCAGAGGAAGGCGGAGCTTAGCAAAGAATCACACAGATCAAGGAGCACCAGAAATGGGGGCCTTCCCTGCAGAGGCAGCCCACGGGTCAGAAGCGGGGCCGGCATCGGGCAGGTCAGTGTGTCCCAGGGTGGAAGGGCTGAATGAGCAGCCGCAGAATGGGGATCATAGGAGCAGGAGGCACCTCCCCTTCACGCCTGGCTGAAATCTAATCCTCATTCTTGGGCCCTCATGTCACGGCCTGGGTCTGGCTTCCCAGCAGCCTCATGCAGCTAAGCTGTTCCCACTCTGCTGTCTTCCTCCAGAGGAAGGACCTTTGCCGATGAAGTCATGGGAATAAAAGCTTCCTTTACCCCGAAAACAGTGGGGGCATGAAGTCAGCTTGTTGTGTGGCCTCTCAAGGCGCAGGTGGGCAGGCAGCCTTCGCTGTTTACCGGGCCTTCAAGCAAGCCCAGGGCGTCATCTAATTTGCAAATCGTGTGATTATCCCCATTGCACAGATGAGGAAACTGAAGCTCAGATCTTGGGATTAGCCCAAGGTCATGGAGCCACCCAATGAAGCCACATCCAAGTCTGGCCCCTACAACTTGAGGTCACTTGCTCTGGAGAACCCACAGATTGAGTTCAGTTCAGTGAGCATTTGCGCAGTTCCTGCGACGTGCCGGGTACCAGGCTGAGCCCTCGGAATCCGCTGTGGCCTCCTGCATGGGTGTGTGGGCAGTCTCGGGTCTCACGGGGGACAGTTCTTTCTCACTTCTGCCCAGAGGGTCTCTTGAGTTTTCTGCTAATTGTCTACATGATTTTAATAGATTAATTAAAAGAATGGTCTTTCGCTCACCTGTTGGTTGAATGCAATGTCATTTTGGAAAGAATCACGTTCTTAGATGTGACTGATCCAAATCGCCCTGGCTTCTGAGGGAGTCATGATGGCTTGTGAGGTCTGTCCTAAACAGGACACTACCCCATGGAGATTCCTGTCCTAGTCCGCCTCACTCTCAGTGACAGCCACACGCCTGGCTGTGCTGCCACGTACCCAGTGCCGCAGAGCCCAGGAGAAGCAGCAGCACACACAGCACCAGCAGTCACACTTCAGACCAAGCAGCTGGCACCGTGCTGGGCACAGGAGGGAAGGCGAGTGACACAGCCCGGAGGTGCAGACATCGTACCTGTGTATGTGGCGGGGCCCATTCTCCATCCATATGCCTGCTTTCAACTGGATCAACTGATTGCCCAGCCAGCTGGAGTAGTGGCCTGTATCCGTCTGTTTTCTTGCTATAAAGGAAAACCTGAGGCTGGGTAATTTATAAAGAAAAGAGATTTATTTGGCTCACAGCTCTGCAGGGTGTACAGAAAGCATGGCACCAGCATCTGCTTCTGCTGAGGCCTCAGGAAGTTTCCCCTCTTGGCGGGAGGGGAAGGGGAGCAGGTGTCACACGGTGAGGGAGTAGGGGAGAGCGGCGGAGGTGCCAGGCTCTTTAACCATCAGCCCTCTGTGAGCGCACCTCCATTACTGCACCACACTATGCATGAGGGGTCTGCCCCCATGATTGAGACGCCTCCCACCAGGCCCACCTCCAGCACCGGGGAGATTCGGAGGGGACACATCTCCAAACTATGTCATGGTCTACACTGACTACAGAAAACTGTCAGGTGACCAATCCATTTAATCAGTCACATGAAGGTGTCCATGGCCTGATCCCAGCAACCACTGTCCCTGCCTGAACGGGGAAGATGCCAGTAATAAAAAGGCCTGTCTGGGAGGTGTTGGAAAACTCAGGTCCACTGGAAGTGACTGGAAGCGTGCATAGGCCCTGGCTCAGCTGGGGACCCAGGGGAGCTGAGTTAGAGCTGGCAGTGCTGGGCCTGGCTGAGGGCCCTGCGTGCTCACTGAAGGCTAAGGAGCCTCAGTTTACCCAGCATCCCCTGTGGGAAAAACAACACGCACCTACCTGGACGACATGAGCACGTGGGGCGGGAGAGGTGGGTTTCACTCGCACACCCCCATGGGCTTTGCCTGTTCCAAGACGACGCACTCCGCTTTCTAGAAGCCCGTATTGGCCTCACGCCTTCTCACGAGTCCTTGCTTGCCTGGGATTTTGATGATGGGAGGGGATGCCTTGGCTGCCCAGTGATGTCCCTTGGTGAATGAGTGCATCAGTGTCTCTCCATGCAAAGCTCTCAAGTGGGTGACGAGTGCTGGACCTTCTGGCCACCGTCCTGGTGCCCTGGCCACCTTCTCCACCTGTTCTCTGTCCCCGAGTGGCCACTACAGCCTGTCAGTGGCCTCTCTTCCCTCTGGATCTTGGTTGCATTTGGCCTGTAGGAGGCACTGGTGGGAGACCGGACAGGCCAGAGGGAAAGGGCGGGGACTGGCCTCTGCCACCTCCCAGCCCGGCCACAGGGGTGGTGGCTGTGTCCTCCTGCCAAGGCCCTCTCTCAGCAGCTCCCTGGAGTCTCTGTCTGGCCTTTCCCTTCCACCAAGATAGAAGGGGTGGCGCTCCCCACTGCCACTGTCCTGGGACGCCTCTCCAGCCACTGTGTTCCCTTCACCCTGCCCACAGCATGGGGAGAGCCCTCAGGAAACTCTCCTCAGCCACTCACCTGAATGCCCACCAGGCGCCTCTTCCCTCCTGGGGCCCTGCAGGGTGCAGTGGCCCCCTGAATCAGGAGCCCAGCTGATTGGGCGAGGTGCACCTTGGCACCTCAAAGCTGGGAGCCAGGCCCTGGAGAGGCTGGCGCCCTCCACCGCAGCCGCCGGTATTCCCGCAGGGTGTGCAGGGTGGACAGCGGGCCTTGCTCTGGCCTGCGGCCCTTCTGGCTACTTTGTGATCAGTCAGCCTATTTTGACATTTCATGTCTTCAGTTTTATTTTTATTTAAAATATTTTTGCAGAAATGGTTTACATGGAGTCTTTCGTTTTAAACAGCCCTTCAGCTGACCTCCTTCCATCACTGTCCAGAAAACATTTCGGATTTCCATATGGAAACAGAGCCCAGAGCCCCAGAAACGCTCACCCTTGCTTCCTCCAACCCACCTGCCACCGAAGGTCTCAGCTCCCGGCTCTTGTTACTTTGGAAGCACCCAGAGGCCCCACCCTGTATGGCCCTCCAGGGTCAACTCACTTCTCCCAAAGATTCTCCCTGGGTGCGGGATCAACTCACTTCTCACTGTACCCAGCCCACTCCCTGTAATCCCAGCACTTTGGGAGGCCAAGGTGGGCAGATCACAAGGTCAGGAGTTCGAGACCCGCCTGGCCAACATGGTGAAATCCCATCTCTACTAAAAATACAAAATGAGGAGGGGTGACGTGGACCTCTGTGAACAGGTGGTGGTTGTTGGGGCCATCGGGGCAGCGGCGACTCTGCGCCCCCCCCGTTCTGGATGGAGACGGGGCCGCATCCCTGGCCCGGGCACTGCTGCAAGCCTGGCGGGCAGCTGGACATGAACCACGGCTTCGTGCACCATATCTGACAGAACCAGATTGCCCGGGACAACGATGACAAGAAGGTGAAGCAGGCGGCCGAGAAGGTGAGGAGGCGGCACACGCCCGCGCCGATGCGGCCCTGCAAGCCAGACCTGCTGTGACACCGAGCTGTCTCTGCCCACCCACGCAACCCAGACTGAAGAATCCAGTGAAAGCAGCAGTAGTGGAGGCTCCAAGCTGGAGCCTTCTGGCCATCAGCTCTTCTGCTTAGAGTACGAGGCAGACAGTGGAGAGGTCACATCAGTTATCGTGTATCAGGGCGATGACCCAGGAAGGGTGAGTGAGGAGGTGTCAGCAGGCAAGCCTCTGGATCTGCCCATGCAAGAAGCCCTCCAGTTGCGTACCCAGGAGGAGACTGCAAAGTCCCAGAGCCAACACTGACTGTGTGGAAGGCGTTCTCTGCAGGCTGGGTCACTGCACTGGGAAGAATTCTGCCCGGGGGCTCCCACTTAGTTTGGGGGTATCAGGACCCATCTGTCTGACCTGGAGACCCCCGAGGTGCTGCATCCATAGGGCATTGCAGGACCACACCTGGCCTGCCTTGCCATCATTCTTTCTTATATCTTGACCCATTTGCCCAGCCTGATATTCTGGAATTTTTTTTTTGAGAATTTTGTGTGGCTAACGTGGTGTTCTAGAAGCAGAGACTCCAGGGAGAACCAGGATTTATGAAGCCTCATGCCCATGTGCTGCTTTCTCAGCAAGGTCGTACGCCACAAGCTGCTCCCCTCAGCTGCATGAGCCGTGTTTGCTATTTTACGGTGGTTCTGTGCTGTTGCTCATTTCTCCCATGTGTTCATAGACCTTTTTTCAGCTCTTTTTCTTTGTTCCTTTCCCTCTCATCTTTCTGCCTCAGGTAGAATCCATCCCTTCTCCTCCCCTTCAACAAGACTGTGTACCTCCAGCTGCTCAGGACTTTGGAGGGGGGAGTTCTGGGGATCTACCCTTCTAACAAACTCGCCAAGTAATTCTGATACCAATAAAGTGGGAGACCTCCATTTTTGAGACCTATTTGGAAAAAAATATACAAAATGAGCCAGGTGTGGTGGCAGGTGCCTGTAATCCCAGCTACTTGAGAGGCTGAGGCAGGAGAATTGCGTGAACCAGGGAGGCAGAGCTTGCAGTGAGCTGCGATCTCACCACTGCACTGCAACCTGGGTGACAAGAGTGAGAATCCATCTTAAAAAAAAAAAAGAGGGGTATGAGAGGTCAGGTCAGAGAGCAAAGTGGATCCCTACCTACGAAAGCTCCAGAGACCCAGGAGTTCACATTCTCAGAACCCAAGGATGTCAGAGGCCCCTCTGGTCCCCAGGGGAGGGGTGTGGTTCAAGGAGGAACCCATGGGCTGGCCCTGGAGAGGAAACCTAGATCTGGCGGGAGATGGGAGCTGCCCGAGGCCTTCTCAGGGCAATGCCAGAGCCTGTGCCTGGCTGGGCCTGACCCCTGACTTCTAGCCCCTTGTGCCAGGGTGGGGCCTGTGGCAGTGAGGACATGCCACTGGGCACCCAGGGACAGTCCTTCATTGTCTCCTTAGCTACAAAGGTGGGTGCCTCATTCAGGATGGGGGAGAAGCACTGGGAGCTAGCCGGAGTCGGGCTGCGTGTCGGCAGGGGCCCCATCAGATGCCACCCCCACCCTAGGAGGCTGCCACCAACACACCCAAGAGTCGTCTCCTGGTGGAAAATTTCATTCTGATGAAAAGCCTTTGTTCTGACACAGAGACGGAGGCCATCCCTTCCAAGAGCACTCTCTCCTGCTCACCTCCCTGGGGCCCTCAGGCCGTCCCCACACCCTCCTCCCTTCTTCCAGGGGCCTCTGTGGGCGCTGCCCACTGGGTGCAAGAGTTGGGCGAGGGCCTCCTTTGTCCACAGCACCAACATGCAGAGGCTGTGTGGGGACCCAAAGCCCACACAGCCAGCCCCGTGTGTGATGGACACAGAGCTTGAAGCCTAGAGAGGGAAGGTGGCCAGCACAGTCATGCTGCTGTGAGCCAGGCAGAAGCAGGCCCACGAGGACCTGGTGCTGACCCCATCTCCGGGGCCTGCCCTCCCCCGCAGCCTCAGCTACCTGGACACTCTGTGTTCACCCTACATTCATGTAACTGCTCCCAAAGCCCCTGCTGGGGCCCAGGGGCAGAAGCTGAGAGCGCAAGCTCTGCGAACGCTGGCCGGCCCCTGTTCCTCTCTTGGAGGTCTCAGCAACCCCGGGGGAAGCAGAGAGCTTCCTGTCCCTGCTATGCTGGCATCTAGCACTCAGGCCCTTGTCACTGCTCAGCATGGAGTGTGGTGGCCGCAGAGACCAAGGCTGTGTCATCTGAGCCATGCTGTCTCATCACCCCTGATGGCCTGAGCCCAGCCCAAGCCCTGGAAAGAACGGTATCTGCAAGAGGACAAATAAGTGAAAATGAAAGGGGACCGTTCCACAGGGCGATGAGGGGCTGCTGTGGGAGCCCCTCCCCGGGGAGCCCACCCTGGCTTAGTGCTCCTGGGCGGGCCTGAAGGGCTGCGTCCACTTGGACACGTCCAGGAAGACAGCGGAGGCCCCGTGGTAGAGCCAGAGCCGGGGCAGGGCGCCGTGGCGGGTCCAGGTGTCCTGAACCGTGTCGTAGGCCTCCATCTCCACGTGGTAGTCGCCTTCCATGCCCTGCCAGCGGCCACCTGTCACGTACAGCGCGTCACCCAGTGGCACCAGCGCGCCATTCTCATGGAGGCTGTGCTGGGACTGCACCTGCGCACGGTCAGTGGGTTAGTGTCCTGCAGGCGGATGCTGGAGAGCAGAGCTGAGGGTGCCCTCGGCAGGGTCGGGGGAGTGGCAGAGAGGACGGCCAGACACCTGGCCCAGACCCCCTCCAGGGTACCAGAGCAGAGTATCTGGGCAGCCCGCCCAGCCCCTCAAGCTTCCTTTGACTCTTCTTTTAGTGGGGAGGCCCCTTTCCCTCTTGACCCTCATCCCTAGGGATGGCATGTCCATCCCTGCTGTCAGAATGGGCCCTGAGGCCTGAGCCCAGAGCTCCCTCTCGGAGAGTCTGCCTGACTCGAGGCCTCACTGAGGCTTCCCTGTCTCACAGGAGATGGGTGTGGCTCAGCCCCGGCAGACACCAAGGGAGAGCCTAGCCCACCATGGATGGGCCCCCTGCAGCCCCTGCTCAGTCTCTGGCCTTGGGAGTGCCCCTGAGAGGGGTTGTGTGGGGCCGGCAACTTTCCAGAGGCTGGAGAGAGCTGCGGCTTCAGGAAGAGCCCGGGCGGGCGGGAAGTGGGAGGCCTGTCTGTCTGCAGATGAAGATAGGGAAGAGACGGGGACCCAGGCCCGGAGAGGACAAGGCAGAGCCCTCCTGTGCTGGCCCTGAGCCTGGGACAACGGCCTGGGCTGGAGGAAGGCCTGGCTGTGGCCCAGCTGGGAGAGCACATGCTGGCCTGGCAGAGCCCACCCTGCACCTGTCTCACCGCTGTAATGGGGCCCTTGGGTCAGCTGAGCGCTGACGCCAGGGGACAGCTGTGGGAAGCAGGACTGCAGAGGAACTGTTGTCACTAGGCTGGCAGCCTGGAGGGCGGCTGCAGGGAGTGCCACCTTCTTAGCCTGAAGGGACTTGGGGTAGGTGGGCAGGCCCAGGGCATCTGGCTTGGTGCCAAGACCCATGCCCAACCTCCTGGGCACTTTCCCCTTCCACCACAGAGGCTACCCAGAGGTCTACCTCCTGCCCCTTCCTCAGGGACTGATGGTCAGAAAGGGGGACATGGTGGGATGGTGCTGAGGACCACAGGAAGGCCACAAGAAGGCCATAGGGTTGGCTGCTCTCAGCTCACGCTCAGCTCAGGACCCCCTCCCTGGCTTGGCCACCAGAGGCAGAGTACGGACGCACTCCCTCTTGTCCCTATAGCAGCCTCCAGCTGAACCTGGTTTTGCTCCCTGAGAAGGCAGACAGGCCACCCCTCTGTAAGGAGTGCAAGGACACAGCACCAGTGGCCAGCCACCCTGAGCCATGTCTCCCACTGTCACTGTCTGTCTCCCCTGTCCCCAAGGGGACTCGGGCCAGGGCACTGTGGTCACCTTGTAGCCTTGGGGGGAATCTCAGCCTGTGTCACCCCCTTCATTGTGGGCCCTCTGTGGGCACCCCATCCTCACTTCCCAGGCTGGCTCTCTGTCAGGAGGCCCGGGCAGGGCTCACACATGGGGAGGGGGGACCCACCTTCTGCCACAGGTTGGCCCCGGGGTCATACACGTAGACCTTCTTGGTATTGTCCCCAATGAGGTAGAGCGCCCCATGCAGCGCAGCACAGCGTGGCGAGGACAGGTACTTGGGCAAGAAGGGCGAGGCGATCACACTCCACGCATCTGTGAGGGGTACGGGCACCGGCCACCATCACCAGGGTGGCCAGGGTGGGCTCCCCCACTCTGAGGGGCCCTGGGCTCAGTGCCTCTCTGAACCTCAATGAGCCCATCTGTGAAATGGGAGTAGGTCCCTGGGGTGCAGCTGGAGGGACCCATGCCTGCCTCTCACCCGGCCTCGCTCTCTCCCTTTGGGGGCAGTGACCCCTCACAAGGCTGCAGCATAAGTGAGGGGCTGTGGAGGGTGCAGCAACCCTCAGGACTCTCCCCCATGGGAGGCGGCGTTGGCCTGGCTGCCACCCCCACCACCCTGACTGGAGGCTGCTGGGGGCCCCTCGATCTCTATCTCTCCCCTGCCCGGCCCCCACCCCGGGCCTGGTACCCAGATGGGCCTTGCTTGGACCCTGGGCCCAGTTAGTCTCTTGAGGGGTCCTCACAGCCATGCCTCAGAATAGATCCCGCCACCATCTACACTGTCCCCGCCACCATCTGCACTGTCCCTGCTACCATCTGCAATGTCCCTGCCACCATCTGCACTGTCCCCAACAGCATCTACACTGTCCCCGACACCATCTACACAGTCCAGAGGATGAAACAGGACCAGGGCCAGGGGTGTCCGGCTCCGAGTTCAGGGGGCCTGGGCTGGGCCTCAAACTCTGACACAGAATCCAGAGCCCAACATGGGCCTTGGGGCCTAGGAGGTCAGGGGTTACTGCTCCCAGCCCTCAAGTCCCTTTCAGGTAGAAGAGCAGCCAGGCAGCTGCCAGGCACTGGGCTCAGGTCACTGGCACCCTGCCCGCAGCCCCAGCCCGCTGCTACCCTAAGGTTTGGCAGGACAGACGTGCAGCTTGCCTCTGCACTGGGACTCTGCAGAGGTGACGAAGTGGGTCCTCGACCCCTCAGGCCCCTGCCTTCCTCCACGTCCCCTCCTCTTTGTGAGAGCCTGTGACTACCTGCCCTCTCCAAACAGGCGCCCCCTGTCCTCGGGAGCCCCACCCTCAACATCACTTCAAGGGGAAGTCGCCCGTCGGAGGGGCCTGTGGTCCCCTGTTCTCCGTCCCTGGGCCCCGCCCACCTGTGACAGGGCTGTAGCACTGCAGGGCCAGGGCGTTGTACTTGCAGGCGCTGGAGCCCACCAGGTAGAGCCGGCCCCGGCAGCCGGCGGCCGAGAAGTTGCTGACATATTTGAGGGCCGGGCTGACGGGCGTCCAGCTGTCCGTGTAGGGGTCGTAGCTCTCCACCTCCACCACGTCCAGGGTGGTGCCTGCGGGGCGAGGATGGGGTGGGTACAGGCTGGGAGGAGGTCAGGCCTGGAAACTCAGGGACTGGGGCTTTGTAAGGCAGCAGGGACCACACTGGTGGAAGGTGGGGTGGCTCCTCATTTCACAGATGGGGAAGCTGAGGCTCTGAGAGGCACCAGCACCTCCTAAGGCCATGCGGTCAGGAAGAGGTGTGGGGGTGGACACCCAGGGCCTAGAAATGCCCCGCTCTGCAGCTCGAGCTGAGGCTGATGTTCAGAAAGCAGCTGGTGGGGAGCCCTCAGGAGGCCACCCGCCCCCAGGCCCTCATGTGCTGGGAGTCATTTCCTGGGATGCTCTGAACTGGAATGGGGGACACAGCCCTGGGAGAGCTGGTTATGAGACCCTGAAGCTGTAGGCAGCTCCCTCCCAGTCCCACAGAGAGTCTGCGTATGACAGTGATAGGGACCTCTCCTGGGGAGAGTGGGCCCTGGCCTGGGCCCCTGTGAGCACCTGGGGACCTCACAAGCCCTGGGCTCGGGACCCCTTGGTGCTTTCTGGTCTCTGGTTGGGGACACGGTAGCCACTGAGAGAAAGGGGACAGCTGGGACAGGTGGAGCATTAGAAGTGGCCTTAAGGCCAGTTTGTCACCTACAGAGCTTTGGGGCCACACGTCTTCCTCCCCTTCCCATCCCCTCCTTCCTGCCCTCCCCCTTCCTTCCTTTTCTCTTTCTTACTTTCTTTTTCCTATTTGAGACTGAGTCTTGCTCTGTCGCCCAGGCTGGAGCGAAGTGGTGTTCCTTGGCCAGCACATGACACCATGGCTGGCTTTTTTATTTTATTTTATTGGCTGGGCACAGTGGCTCACTCCTGTAATTCTAGCACTTTGGGAGGCCGAGGCGGGTGGATCACTGGGGATCAGGAGTTCAAGACCAGCCTGGCCAACATGGTGAAACCCCATCTCTACTAAAAATACAAAAAATTAGCTGAGTATGGTGGCATGTACCTGTGGTCCTACCTACTCAGGAGGCTGAGGTGGGAAGATCACTTGAGCCCGGCAGAGGGAGGCTGCGGAGAGCTGAGATCACGCCACTGCACTCCAGCCTGGGTGACAGAGCAAGACTCTGTCTCAAAAATAAATAATTTTTAAAAGGGAGACAGGGTCTCTCTAAGTTGCTCAGGCTGGTCTCAAACTCATAGGCTCAAGCAGTCCCCCTGCCTCGGCCTCCCAAAGTGCTGGGATTACAGGAGTGAGCTGCCACATTTTGTTTTTCGATGTTTCTTTAAGTGAAGGCTCCTGGGTGACTCCTTGCTATAGCTGCGGGTGCTGGCAGATGGGTGTGCCCGTCCCCACTGCAGCTCCTGCAGGAACCCCTCCTGGGGCTGACACTGCCCTGCCGTCTCTGTCCCGGCACGGCAGAGGCACTGGGAGCTGGCCAGGGAGGACGCCTGGGCATGGGTCTCGATGGCTCATCTGGTCAGGAGCCCTGGCCTGTGACTGGCCCGCCCCACCAGACAGCGAGCCCTGAGGGTGGCAGTGGGAGCGGCATCTCCGTGGTCTCTGAGGCCAGCATAGGGCTGTCTGTCCCTTACCGCCGATGACGTAGATCTCCCCATTGAGTGCCGCGCTGGCATGGTTGGTGCGGGCCTTCAGCATGGGCGCCACGGGCTTCCAGGCAGCCTCCTTCAGTGGGAAGCACCAGGCCTGAGTGGTTGACCAGGTGTCTGTCTTGGTGCCCCGAGAGCCACCTGCGGGAGAAGTTCTGTCTACATGGGTACCACCTGCCTGGGACACCAGGCCAGTGGGGTCTGGGTACCAACATCCGGGGCCCTCCTCCCATGCCAGGCCGTGACTGCCAACATGGTGAGCCAGGGTGGGACCAGGGTAGTGCAGTGGAGCTATGTGATTGCACGGGTCCCGCCATCCCCCATCAATAAGGGGGACAAAATCAGTGGTTTCAAGCCCCTATCAGCGGAAGCTTGTCCCCTACCAAATCGTACAAGGAACCCCAACTTCTGAGATAAGAAAGAGCAAAGTGACCCCTGCATCCCATGACTCCTTCTGGAGACCACCTGGTCAGCCACCCAGGCCTGGGGCTTCCCGCCGAAGGAGGCCACCTGGAACCTTGTGGCACCTGTGCTGAAGGTCCACGGCAGCCACTCAGAGCCAGTCAGAGCCAGTCAGAGCCAGCACAGTACTCAGCAGGCAGATCCGGAGCCTCCACCGAAGGAGCTGTGTGGGGCAGGGGTTGGCCCACGCCAGCCTGCGTACAGGAACAGCTCCCAGCTCCCACAAATGACCGTGGATTTTAAGTGTCCTTGTTTTCACACGCATGGCAAGGCTTGGACACGCTGTGACTAACCATCAGGGACCCACAGAGTATGGGTAGTGGGTTTCAGGGGAGCTGCACTGTGCCCAGTGCTTGGCTGGGCAGGGCATCCCCAGAAGGGCCCCCGAGCTGCCCACCTGTGACATAGATGGCGTTGTTCAGGGCTGCCAAGGAGAAACCCCACTTGTGGTAGTCGGGGAAGTCTGGAAGTGCCATCCACCTCTCTGGCAGGAGGAGAGAGGCAGAAGGGTTAGGCTGCCAGGCTCCCTGCTGGAGCCATCCCCACTCCCGCTTTCCGGGTGCCTTTCCACACACCACTGCAGAAATGCCCCCTTCCCTGGTGGGGAAAGGGAGGGGCAGGGTGGCACTGGTGTGGGGGCACAGGGGGTCCTAGGTCCTTTGGCTCCCCACACTCTCCGCAGAGCCTAGGACTCAGAGTAGACACGGGATAACCCCCGGGAGGAGAAGCCAGGCTTTGGAGGCCAGGGTCTCACCTTGATCCTGCAGTTGACCCCACTGACCCCAAATAGACCATTCAGCCCCTGGGTCTGCCTTTCAGTCAGATGAGTGTGGGTTAAGTGGTCTGATCTGTGGGTGTCAATAGTGGGTGATGACACCAACAGCATACCTTCCCCTTCCCCCTCCTCCTTCCCCGCCCTCTCAGGCACATACAGGGGATCGGGCACAGGCCCTGCAGCAGGCAGAGCAGGTCCAAATCCCAGCTGCTATACCCCAGCCATGTCCCCTTGGGCAAACCCCAGCCTGCCTCAGTTCCCTTGTAGAATGGGGGTGACGCCTGCCTCCCGGGAGCTATGAGGGCTTCACGGAACTGCTCAGCTGATGACGGCTGTTAGAATTATTATTGCTATGGTTGTGGGGCAGAGCAATATGCCCAAGCCAAGTCTGCCTCTTGGAGCTACAAGAGGTAAACTGAGGCAAGAGATGAGAAAATGCTTTGGAAAATCAAGATAAGACAATACATGTGGAAACGGTAAAGTCCTATGAATGGATATATTTTGGGTATTTGTGGAAGAGACCCAGGCCTTTGGATGTCCCCTAGGAAGACCGTTGACTGCTTATGACCATTTTGGGGAGATGTGGAATATTCCAGGCCTCCCTGGGAGCAGAGCCTGGCATGGTGGGCAGAGGCCGTGTCCCGTGACTCACGGCTCTGTCATTCCAGGGTTGGGATTGCCCGGCCGTCAACAGGCCCTTCCTGCCAGCATCCCCACCTCCCGCCCAGGTCTGAGGGACAGCTGTTCCCTCCTGACGTCAGCCCCAAATCCCTTCTGGTCAGCCCCTGACCCCAACAGCTGACCTCGGGCTTCCTGAAGCCTGCCAGTTGCTGACGCCATGGGGATAGTTGGCAACCTACCAACCAGCCAGCCTGCATCAGCCCTTTCCAAAGCACTCCCTGGGGCCAGTGCGGGGCAGGGGGGGCCTCCAGAGCCACTGAGGGGCCCCCATGCCTCCTTTCCTGCCAAATGGCAGACCTGGCCTCAGCACCCACTTCAGGGCTCCCTGCAACTGTGTGAGGAAGAAGCAGGAGCCCGTTTCACAGATGAGGAAACTGAGGCTCAGAGCGGTGAGGTCACCCACTGGAGGGCTAGGATAGGAGCCCCGTTTGGGCTGACCCAGAAGCTGAGCTCTCACTGCTCCAGCTGCCTGCACCCCTTCACCCCAACCCCGCTCTCCCCTTGGGGTCTTGATTCTCCTATCAGGTGTACCAAGCCAGGAGAATGGGGAGGGGCAGCAGCCTGGCCGCCCACCCCACAGGGTGCAATCTGGGCCGTTGAGCCCTGTGCACCAGCCCCAGGGCCTAAAAGGGACCAGAGTCCTGGGCTCTGGCTGCAGGGAGAGGGGACAGCAGTGCCCCAGCCTTCCTCCCCACTGGGGCGCCCAGGGTCCTCTGCAGCCCCCAGGTGAGGTTCTCTACACGCCTCACTTGCTCTACGTACAACAAGGGCACAGCAGTTCCTGCCGGGACCGAGGGACAGTGGACGGGCCCGGGCGCGAGAGGGGTACTTACTGGCCTTGCTGTTGTAGAAGGCAAAGTTCCCAAGGCGGGGGGTGAGCTCCTCGCCTGCCTCATCCTCCTCCAGCGCCCGCCCGCCCACCACCACCAGGACCTCCTCCAGCTTCTGCTGGAGGGTGGGTGGCGCCTGTGGGATGGGAGGCCAGGATCAGAGCAACAGCGATGTCTCCCCATGCCCAGAGCCCCTGAGTGTCCTGGGCAGGCCTCGGCATGTGTGTGCATTGTGTGTGCGCGAGGGCATGCATGTTGCTGGGGATGGCACGTGCCCGAGTGCACAAGCTGGCCCTCCTCGCAGTCACCGCGTGCCTTTGGTCCATTCCTGAACTGCCTTCAGAACCCACCCTGCAGCAGGTCTGCAGCACCACGCATGAGCTTTTCCCTGCCCCTGCTCCCTGGGTGGCCTCTAGTAGGCAACACAAGGGTGTCCTGGCTCAGTGGGAAACGCTGGCTGCCTTAGGAATGCCCAGTAAGCACTCACTGTCTAGGGCTCCCCTACATCCACCCAATCCTGGCCCCCTCATGGACCCCCCAGATCTCCCACTGCTAGCATTTAGAATTCAAGGTGACTGCCTCCGGGCAAGGCTATGAGGCCAGCTCCAGCAGGAGGCCGGGTGCTCTGTGACTGGCTGGCAACCAGTCGGGAGAGGGGTTAGGGTTTTGCCCGCTCCTCACTCCACCCTAGGCCTGAGAACCATCAGCCCAAGCCATCCTGTCCCCGGACTTGTCTCCTTTAGAGTGCCCTGAAGCAAGGCCCGTGAGCAGGGTGCCCGGCAGCTGACTGAGCAGCCACTCCCAGACCTGTCACTCCATCATGACCCGCCCTCCCCACCAGGCCCACTGCCATCACAAACAGGAAGTGGCACCCCATAAAAGCTCAGGCAGTCTGCCAGGCCTATCTGTACCTCCTTTGCCTGTGCACAAGCTGTACCACCTTCCTGGATGGTTTCCCTTCTTTTCCTCCTTGCAATCTCCTATTCCTCCTCTAAGGCCCAGCTCAGATGCTGCCTCCTCCAGAGAGCCCTCCCTGACTGCCAGCCCCTCTCAGAATGCATCCTGGGCATGTGTTTGGCCCTTCCACATTGCCTGAGATCTGTTTCCAGGTTTGTCCCACTGAGCTGCAGGCTCCTTCGACAGGGTCAGATCTTACAACTTCTACGTTCGCCCCGCCGGCACCCAGGGTGTAGCACAGAGGCACAATCCACACTTGAGGGTGAATGCTGATGTCCTCACAGGGAACCGGCCCAAACAAGGAGCAGTGCAAGGTCAGAGTGCACCTTGGGATGTTCCCTCCTTACTCTGTCCCTACGCAGGTGGGTGTTTGCCCTGCTTCCCAGGGATGGGGGCCTCCCAGCCACTCACTCACCCCGTCATGGCCCTGGGACAGGGCTGCCCGGCATGCCTCTGATTCCTGGATCAGGGGCTCTGTGGCCAGGAGTTGCTGCACGCAGGGCCTGGGCACAGCGTCCAGGCGCACCAGGCTGAGCAGCGCGGGCAGGTGGGTAGCCCGGGCCTGCGGGTCATGGCGCACCCAGCGCAGCAGGGCTTCAAGCCGGCTTCTTTCTGGCTGCACCTGTAGCAGGTCGCTGGCCAGACAAGTGGCCAGCCGGTCTCGGGGAAGCTGAAGGAACTCATCCTCATGTGCCACAGCTTCAAAGTTCTCTCGCAGGAAGGCCCAGGCCTTGGCAGCCACGCCCAGCAGCCCTTGCTGCTCCCCAAACTCACAGATGCCCAGGCAGTTGGCAGCATCCAGCTGCTGCTGCAGGTAGCGGCCACAGACCTTCTGCACGGAGGGGAAGTGCAGGCGCGCAGCTGTGCGTGTCAGCGCCTCCACGTTGCCCTGCGTGATGGTCAGCCGGCCCGTGTACACGAAGTCCACCAGTTGCCCCACCACAGCTGGCTCCACATCCCGCAGCTCCACGCGTGCAGAGAAGCTCTCGGCGAAGTCACCCGCAAACATGGCGTGGAAGTAGGGGCTGCTGAGGGCCAGGAGGCCACGGTGGCATGGCAGTTCTCGGCCACCTACCAGCAGTGTCACATCTGCCAACTTAGGCTGAGAGCGCAGCCGCTGCAGGCCCTCCAGCATGTTCTGGGCATGTGAGGGCAGGTGGAAATCCAGGTCATCCACGTTCCGCACCATGATGCCCACTCAAGGGAAGAGGTGCCTGGAGCCTCCTGAGCTCCTAGGAGAAAAGACAGCAGGGTCAGTAAAGGGGGACGGTCTCATCCACCTGAGCAACCCATCCAGTCTGTCGATCAGCCCTTTCATCCCTTGACAAACACAGGCTGAGCACTGACCATGTGCCAATCACTTTACCCGCCATCTGCCTCAAGCCACTCCTGGAACCCTCCAAGGTAGGGCAGGTGGCATTCCCATTTGTAGTGAGGAAATTGAGGTTCAGAGAGGGTGGGAGACCTCCCCATGGCCAGGCATTCAGGACAAGACGGGCTGGCAGGAGAACCCATGCCCTGGGCCTCTTCCACAACCCTGGCTACACTGAACCCACCCCCTAGGGGCCCTGGAGGCACCCAAACACCTGGGAGGCATCCTCTGTCCCAGATCCCACATTGCCAGGGAAACCATTTAGGGGCTGCAGCAGCTCCCATTCCCATGGTGCTCCGAGGTGCCAGGCCACGTGCCAAGCATGCAAAGAAGCTCTCGGCAAAATCACCTGTGCATTCACCACTCAGCCCCACAGCAGTCCTGGAGGGTGGATGTAATCATTGCCCCTTTTACAGCTGGGGAGACGGAGGCACAGAAGGTTTGAGTCACTTGCCCGAGATCACACAGCTAGGAAGTGGTGGAGCTGGAGTTGGAACTCAGAGCTCCGCTTGGGGGCCCAGGCTCATCCCTGCAGTCCACATGGCCTGGTGGAGGCTGCTCAACAGAAATGGCCAAAGGCAGGCAGTGTTCTGGAGGGTTTCACAACACCACGCTTACACGGCTGAAGTCAGCAAGGCTGCGTCCAGGCCCATGTCACTGTGTGCATGTGGCTTGTGTCCTTCTGGTATTGCACCCTAAGGCAACCATCCCTAGGAGAGATCACGTCTACGCACAAGCCTTCATCTCAGTCACCCCAGGGTGAAAGTCTGCACAGCGGAGAGGCTGTTCGCCCGCTAGGGGGCGCCTTGCAGAGCTGTACTGGCAGGATTGGCGGCCGCGCGTCCATGGGGACAAAATGCTTGGGAATGCCAGTGGCATGGAAATGACAAAGCTCAGCTGGAGAACTAGGAGGCCAAGAGCCTGGCCGGGGCGGCCACGGTGCAGGTGCAGGTAGTGGGAGCTGAACGACCCGGCCTCCTGACCCCAGTGCTACGTCTCGACCCCAGAGCGGGGAAGCCCCTGGGAGTGCGCTGGGCTTCGCTGACCAGCCCCAGCTCTTGCACACAGGGCGGCTCAGGCGGCTGGAGGCCCCACACCCCAGCAGCCCGGCCAGTACACAACTTACCCACCCAACACTGCATGCATGGGGCCCTGCCTGGTCCCCACCAAGGGAGTGCTGGAGCTGGAGAAGGCGGCTCTGCCCTCCCTGGGCCTCAGGGAGATGAGCTGGGGCCTGAGTAGGCGACTGGCTGTCCCTGGGCCACCGCCTGCAGGCCTCACATTCCTGTCATTGTTGTGCTGTCTTGGGCCAGCTGCTGCCCTGGCCAAGGCCGGCATGTGTGAGTGCCCCCACTTTCCCTGGGGGCTCACAGGAGCCTGCTGACACCCCTGAGTTCCTTCCTGGACCCGGGGCTTCCTGAGGGTCTCAGTGCCTCACCCTGGTTCCTGCCCATCCCCGGAGTGAGGAAGCCAAGTGGGCAGGACAGCAAACGGCCTTAGCCCAGCCAAGCTGGCGACTGTGGCCAAGTGGTCCTGGCTGCCATTGAGGGGTGGCCCGGCCTCCCTCCCATTGCTCCAGCTGAGACAGAGGGAAACCTGTCTCCTGAGCCCCCACACTGAGGAGCCTGGCTTGGCCACTGGCAGGGCTAGGGGGTGTCTCCAAAGCACCCCGCTGTGATCCTGGCCTCCTGGGCCTAACCCACCCTCCCTACTGCTCCCTGCTGAGTAGCCCCCCCCGCCCCCCACCCTCTCTGCTGTCCCCTGTTCCACAGATCCCTGGATCCTACCTCTCAGCCTGGACCTCGAAGCTGAGAACACAGACCTGAGAGCAGGACTGCTCAGCCGGCAGCCAGGGAACACAGAGGCCTACAGGGCGGGGCAGGGCTGGGCTGGTGGCCACGCTGGGACAGGAGGGTATTTTTAGCCTCTGTTTGCAGGGCGGGGGGAGGGTCAGGCAGTGAGGGCTGGGCGGGTGGGGGAAGGAGCGAGACGCCGGCTCCTCAGTGACTGTCAGCTCAGAAAGCCCACTGAGGCCTTCGAGGGAACATGGCCTCGGAGAGACTTCAGGAAGGGCTCCAGGGCAAGGACGGGTGGAAGCTGTGGCCGCTGGGCTGACTAGTGGGGGCAGGGTGCAGCTTCCCCACCTGTTTCCTCATCTGCAAGGTGGGAACAGTGGAGCCCATGGTGGGGGACCGGGGTCCCAGAGAGCCTCAGCCCAGGGCCACGACACCGACAGGTGCTGCCTTCACTGTTGATGCTGACGGCACCTATGTGTCCTCTTGCTCTTTTGCCACAAGGGAAAATTCGATTATCCTGAATAAGGGCACTTTGGCCCGCAGAGGCTTTCCAAGCTTGGGGTCCATGGTGGTGATGCAGACACTTTGCCCAGAGAGGGGAGGAGGCACCCTCAGATTCGGGGAGATCCTGGGGCTCCTTCCCCCTGCTACCCCATGGCCTTGGCCTTGGGGCTGCCCAGGACACCTAAGCAACAGGGTCATCTACCACTACATCAGCAGGCTCCCAGCCTCCCGTCCAGCACTTGGTTCGTGGAGGTCGCAGGGGGAGTGCCTCACACCTGGGGGACCTGGCTCAGAACCGCAGGCCCTGAACAAGGTCAGGTGGGTTGAGTTGGGGAATGAGGGGCCACGGGACACAGTGGTCAGAGCAGAGCTTCGTGGTTGAGGGGCTTCAGGTGCACAGGAGAGAAGCCCTCAGCCCTCTACCCATTGGCCACGTGGCCTGACCAGTATGACCATTTCCAGCTGTGCTGCAACCTAGAGGAGCTGAGGCTGTGCCCTCTTGATGCTGCTAGGAATTGTCCTAACGCTCTTACACACCAGAGAGACCCAGGCGGCCCCCAGGGAGACAGAACCGCACTCTTGGGAGAGTTAGGGAATTTCTCAAGGACGTTGAGGTGCCTGCCCTGACCTCCGGGGTCCTGGACACAGGGCATGTGTTCTGTGAGCGTAGCAGCTGGGCTTGCTACCCGCTGAGGACTTGGTTGTGGCTTGGAAGCCATAGTCCCTGCTCCTGAGATGCATGCAGCCTATGGAGCAGAAGGTCACCACACAAATTACTGCCAGGTCTGCCAGGTGCTCCCAGTGTTACCTTCCAGAGAAGTTCCCTGAGTCCATGCCTCCTCTACAGCCCAGCGTGGCCCCCGCTCCTGCTCTTTCCCCTGCTCCTGTCACATACTGACCCGGGACTTTTCCCCAGCCTTGGGTGTCAGCCTCACGTTGGGGGGGCGGGAAGACCCCAACTCTCGCTGTGTCCAGGACCACCATGGGACAGGCGCTGGAGTGTCGGGTTTCCCCACTGTCCCCGCTGTATGCAGACAGAACATGCAGGGTTAATGCAGTCCCAGCTGGGGCTGGAGGAAATGAGGACAGGGGTTCTGATGACAGGCTCCTGTCACGGGGAGCTGGCTCTGCTCGGGGAACAGCACTGCTTGCCAAGTGTGGAGTCCTCACAGCCGCCGCCGTGGGGCCCAGAGCCCCAGCACCTCAGATGACAGGTCAGTTTGGGAAACTTGACACCAGGGGCGCAAAACGAATCCTCATCGACAGATTACTGCTGAGTGGTGCAGCTTTTTAAAAATACACTGCTAGTTTCTTTATGAGGATAGACATAACATAATTCCTTTTGGAAAACAGAAAAATAAAAAGCAGAAATCACCAGTAAAAGACCATTTGCCATTAACATGCTCCCAACTCTTACCTGTTGTCAAAATGAGCATGCCTGCGTGCGGTCAGTGCCCTTTCCTCACATGTGGTTATATTGTATTTCTGATGTGATCAGCACTTGAAGATAAGATTTTCAACCTCGGCTGGGCACAGTGGCTCAAGCCTGTAATCCCAGCACTTTGGGAGGCTGAGGCACATGGATCGCCTGAGGTCAGGAGTTCAAGACCAGCCTGGCCAATGTAGTGAAACCCCCGTCTCTATGACAAATACAAAAATTAGCCAGGTACACGCCTATAGTCTCAGCTACTCAGGAGGCTGAGACAGGAAAATCGCTTGAACCCAGGAGCCAGAGGTTGTAGTGAGCCAAGATCGCACCACCGCACTCCAGCCTGGGGGATAGAGCAAGACTCCGACTCAAAGAAGGAAAAAAAAAAAAAAAGCGATTTTCAAATCAATAGGATAACATGACACTTTGTGAAGTTGGGAGTGATAACTGGTCACTCCACCTGTTCGTGGACGTTCAAGCTGTTTTCCACTTGGGCCTGCTATAATGAAGGTGGCATCACCTGTGTGATTATTCCTTCGGAATAGATTCTGAGCGTGAAATCGTGAAAATGTGTGAGGCCGGGTGCAGTGGCTCACGCCTGTAATCCCAGCACTTCGGGAGGCCAAGGGTGGGGGTGGATCACTGGAGGTCAGGAGTTAGAGACCAGCCTGGCCAACATGGTGAACCCCTGTCTTTACTAAAAATACAAAAATTAGCTGTCCGTGAATCCCTGTATTCCCAGCTACTCGGGAGGCTGAGGCAGGACAATCGCTTGAACCCAGGAGGGGGAGGTTGCGGTGAGCTGAGATCACGTCACTGCACTCCAGCCTGGGTGACAGAGCGAGACTCCATCTCCAAACAGAAAAAGGAAAAAATGTGTGAGTGCCCCTCTGCTGGGCCCGAACGTTCCGGCTGTGCGGATGGCCCAGTCCGCAGCCAGTCTGCCCAGCCCTCGGGGTGTTACAGCCCTGCACAGCCCCTCCCACTCCATCGGGGCGATGTGGGGCCTGGCTTCCACCAGGCCGTCCTTGTTCCCTTTCACCAGCGCTCTCAGCGCGTCGGACGGCGCCTCCTTCCCTGCGAACCTGCTGCGGTGCCGCTCTATTCACTGTTCACATTTCCTTTTTCTTGGGTCCAAACCACCTTGTTTGAAGGCATCTGGCTCTGTAATGATGACATCTTAGGATCTGAGATGGAAAACCCTCGTTCTCTGCTAGTTACATGTTTTTGTCTGCTGCATTAGCGATCTCGCACCGCGTAAGGAACCGCCCTGAAATCCAAGGTCCTAGAACCGTGCACAAGTGTCGTCTCAGTGTCTCCTCCGGAGCACGTGCTTGCGACCGCCTCTCTCAGCGTCTCGTCGGGAGCGCGTGCGTGCGTCCTCGTCTCTCAGCGTCTCCTCGGGAGCGCGTGCGTGCGTCCTCGTCTCTCAGCGTCTCCTCGGGAGCGCGTGCGTGCGTCATCGTCTCTCAGCGTCTCCTCGGGTGCGCGTGCGTGCGTCCCCGTCTCTCAGCGTCTCGTCGGGAGCGCGTGCGTCCCCGTCTCCCAGCGTCTCGTCGGGAGCGCGTGAGTGCGTCCTCCTCTCTCAGCGTCTCCTTGGGAGCGCGTGCATGTGTCCTCGTCTCAGCATCTCCTCAGGAGCGCGTGAGTGCGTCCTCGTCTCAGCGTCTCCTCCGGTGCGCGTGCGTGCGTCGTCGTCTCTCAGCGTCTCCTCGGGAGCGCGTGCGTGCATCGTGGTCTCAGCATCTCCTCAGGAGCGCATGCGTGCAGCCTCGTCTCTCCGCGTCTCGTCGGGAGCGCGTGCGTGCGGTGGCTCCACCTCGGGATGACTCAGCAGGGTCCCACGAAGTGCTGAGTCCAACTACAGTCATCGGAAGTGGGGAGTGAGGCAGGAAGGGTTTGCGGGCTGTGGGCTGCAGAACCAGTTCCCCCGACAGGTCCCTCTGTAGAGCCGCTCCCAGCGGGGCGGCTGCTTCCCTGAAACAAGGCCGGCAACGGAGATGAAGCCCGGAAGGGGGGGCCTTTTGCTGCCCACTGGGAAGGGATGTCTGCAGCTTCATCCTATTCTGGGGTACCCAGCGTGGAACGGGGCTGCATGCTGTGGCCACCCAGAGGCAGGGGTTGCTGGGGGCCTTCGTGCAGGCCGGCCTCCATGGCAGCTTCGTTCATTTCTTCTTTTAAATGGCCTTCAGAGATTAAATTTTTAGGAAGAGCTGGGCTTTGCGTTAAGCCGGTGCACCGACATGCAGGGAGCCCGCCCCTCTGCACGTTGACCCAGACGCGGGGGAGAAGCTGGGTTCCCGCACTGCCCTTGGCGAGGGTCGCTGTTTCTCCACATATCCATCCTGCCCTCGTCTATGGGCTGGGGACACAGGGCTCCCTTTCTCCTGGATGTTTTTGATTCATCAGGAGGCTCCTGGGCTTTGCATGTGGCCGCCTTGCTGATGTCGGCGCCTCCACGGTGCTAGGGTGCGGACTCTTGTCCTGAGTTTTTCGTCAGTTGGACAACGGATTTAAGGCACCAAACGGGCCCTGCAGCTGAGTGTGACATTGCGGGGGCCAGCGCCTGCCTGCTCCGGGGACACAGGCTCCCCACAGGTGAGCTGCTGCTGGGCCAGCGATTCCAGCTCACCAGGAATGTCTTAAACCTCCAGCTTTCCAGACCTACCTAAATGATGCAGAAGGTCACTTACGGGGCACTCCAGAGCATTCCAGCAGCACTCCAGGGACCCAGCCTGGATCCGAGCCACACCTCACCCCTCACCTGGCAGCCCACCCCAGGCCCTCCTGGGACCCTGATGTGTGTGCCCACTGCTGGCCTTGATCAAGCTCCTCAGCTGGGAAACAGGCCCAGAGGTTTTGGAGTACTTGTCCAAGATCACAGCGAGTGGGCAGGGGCGCCTGGAGCCAGGAGGGCCAACTCCCTGCCCAGAGCTCTTCTCTTGAGCACCCTTGGCCAGGGGTGACCTGAGGCCTGCTGCCCCCACCTCCAGCCCCCTGCTCTGTCGGGGTACTCAGAACAACATTCCCTCGAGGGGTGCCAGAGGGGACTCCAGGAGACACCGGAACACCCAAACCTGACACCCCCAGCCAAGGGCTCTCCCTAGACCCACCCACTGCCCCATACCCTCTGCCAGCCCTGGGCAGTGTCTGCACTGCATGGAACCGCCCTCATCTGTTCTCCACTGGGTGCCTGTTGTGGCCCAGAGCCAGGGCCCTACTGACTGAGAAGCAGCATTCAGGAAGCTCCTGGCTGTTCCCAGCTCCCTGCTCATTACAAACAACTCTGAAACACCTGTAATCCCAGCATTGAGAGGCAGAGGTGGGCAGATTTCTTGAACCCAGGAGTTCAAGACCAGCCTGGGCAACATAGCAAGAGCTGGACCCTACAAAAACTACAAAAAAATTAGCTGGTGTGGTGGCTGGTGCCTGTAGTTCCAGCTACTCGGGAGGTTGAGGTGGGAGGATCGCTTGAGCCCAGGAGGCAGAAGTTGCAGTGAGCTGAGATTATTTCACCACTGCATTCTAGCCTGGGCAACAGAGCCAAGTCCTGTGAAAGAAAGAAAAGAAAGGCATAAAGGAAAGGAAGAAAGGAAGGGAGGGAGGGAGGGAGGGAGGGAGGGAGAAGAAACAAAAGAGAGGCAGAGAAAGAAAAAAGGAAGGAAGGAAAGAAAGGAAAAAGAGAAAGGGAAGAAAGAAAAAAAAGGAACTCTGAAATGCCAGCTGCACGCTGGTGAGTGTCTGAGACCATATTGATTCCCCCCACAGAGGCCCCTCCCATGTGGAACCTCCATCCTCCCGCACTGCAACCCCAGGAGTGAGGGAGAGTGAGGTCCGCATGCGTCCCATGCTGCAGATGAGAAACCAGAGGTTAAGAGGGACCAAGAACATGGCCCTGGTGTTTCAGCAGAGCTGAGATGAGGGTTCGGGTCTTCGTACTGGGCTCTCAGGGCACAGGCGGCTCTCATGGGTGGCTGAACAAGCACAAGAGAGGGGTTGGCTAGGAACAGGAATCTTTATTTAGCAAACGTATGTTCAGCTTCAGCTCTGCCACAGGGTCCTCAGCAGTGGAGGAAGCCGGAGGGGGCTGGCTACAGAGCAGGCCCTGGGAGAAAAGCCACGGGCTGGGGCTGGGCCATTGCTAGTTCCCTTCCTGTCCCCACTCGCCCGATGGCCAATACCATCCCTCTCAATTTTCCATCTTCATGAGCTTCCCTCTCCCTGGGCCCCAGTCAGCTGTAAGAGTCTCTCTATTCCATCTACCAGCTTGCCCGCTGCCCTCCATGCTCTGCCCAGATAATCCCCTGGGAGTGAGGTGGGGACCCCTGACAAGCTTGTCCCTGACTGCACCCTCCTCTGTCCCAGGGAACCTGAAGCCTTACCTCCCTGCCCCTGCCTGCTGGGCCATCTCACAGTGGCAGAGGCCTGCCCCCAAAGTCCCTGTGGGCTTGGGCCCAGCCCTCGTCAGCCCCAGAGCCTTGCTGGTGATCCATCCTCCTGGCTGCCATCAGGAGCTGCGGACAAGCCACACCCTGTACCAACCATGCCCAGCACCCATTAAGGGATACTCTGCAGCACCCAGAGCCCCCGAGGGCAGAATCCATTTCCCTGTGTCCCTCCCTTCAGCACCCAGGCCACCGTGGAGGAGAGGTGTGCTGTGGGTGACACCCAAGTGCCCTCACGAAGTAGCCACACTCCACCGAGGTCTGGCTGGTGGCCACCCCGGTGGCATTCTCCTCTGTTGCAGCAGCCTCTGAGAGTGGGTGCCGGCCACCTTGCCTGGAGGCCTCCTGACCGCTGCTACTTCCACGCCCCTGCTCTCCGGCCTTGCAGGGGCCCACGACCAGGTCAGGGCAGTCAGCTGGAGGACAGGGGCCCCGTGGGGAGGCTTCCTTTGAGGGAGCTGGGCCTCTGGAGCACCTTGGGGGTGGGAGCACCTGGCCTGGTGGGTGTAGGTGCGTGACCAGCAGGGACAGTCTGGTAGGAAGGCCTCCTGCCCATGGAATCTGTCCTGGGAGGTGAAGGGGTATGGCCCAAGGTCAGCAGGAAAAACGGGCAGGTCCAGGGCCTGGGCCCACCTCAGGCTTGTGTGGAAGGTGGATGTGGCTGAGGCCACCAGCACCAGGGAAACTGAGGGACAGGACGGCCAGGTAATTGGTGGCACTGGGGAAGGACAAGTGGGAAACAGCATCCTGGGTCCCGGAGGCCAGCCCGGCAGAGGTGCCCTGGGCTGGGGTGGCCTAACTTCAGGGCCTACCAAGGGGCTTCCTGGAGGCAGTGGTGAGAAGGAGTCTGAGTCCCAGCTCGGAGAAGCAGACGACAGAAGAGTCCCACAGCCTGTGATAACCGGCAGGACTGGAGGCTGCCGTGCATACACTGAGCATCCGCAGCTTTGCCTGGCTCACCCGGCCACCAAGGGAGTAAGCAAGGAAAAGAAAAGAGAAATCCCAAGTCACCCCCAAACTGCGTTTTGAAAAGCAGGCTGCCCGCTGGGTCACTCTCCAAAGTTGAACATCTCAGCTTCCTTCTCCTTCCAGAAGGCAAAGCTCCGGTCGATGTAGCCGCAGATGTCCTCGCAGTTGAAGCTGCCCCGCTGGGAGCGGGTCCCCAGCCGCTGTAATGCGGGCTTGGGGCCGCTGCAGGGGACAGCAGCGTGCGGCAGGGGCCCAAGCGGTGTCAGTCCTGACTTTCGGCCAGGCTCTGAGTCCCAGGCGGGACCCTGGCTGGAGCCGAAGAAGCGGGCTTTGATGTCCTCGAAGCCGTCAGTCCAGGCCCGACGGCCAGCAGCCACCTCATCGGTCACGGCCTTGTGGAAGGTGCGCACAGCCTCCCAGCCGTGGGTGCCCAGGTGCTCGAAGACTTCGAAGCAGAGCAGGTGGCGCGCCTTGCGCTCCTCAGCTGGCAGATTGCACTCCAGGAGCTGGAAGTAGCCCAGCATGAAGAGGTCCAGTGAGAGGCTGCTGTAGGGCACGGGAGCCCCGTCCACGTGGGGCAGGAACTGCTCGGGGGACAGGGCCCCACGGGGCCGCCGGCTCAGCCGTCGCAGCTGCCGGGCGGGCACATGAGCCATGATGGCCTTCCAGTTGCCCAGCAGGTGGGTGATGGTGCTGCGCTGCTGCCACAGGTGGCCCAGCCGGGGGCCCTGGCTGGGTGGAGAGGGTGGCCCAGGGCTCCTGGTGGCCTCCCGGCCCTGAGACCCTGTGTGGCGGGCTTCTAGAGTCCTGTAGGCCGCAGTCTTGAGGGCCGGCGTGTAGGCCGACCTCCTCCAGTGGCTGAGGAAGAGCATAACGATGCGCTCCTTGCGCAAGCTGGCCGGGTCCTGGCTGGCCGCGACACCCACCTCTGATGGCACCTCCTCGCAGCTGATGCCGGAGTCGCTGGCCTCCTCTGTGTCGCCAGGCCTGGGCTGCCCCAAAGCTGGGACACTGCGGGGCTTAGGCAGGGCTTTCCAGCAGCCACTCAGGCACTGCCTGGGCTGGGCTCCTGGCTCGCAGGGGCCAGGGTTGAAGCCACAGAGTGGGCCAGAGGCCGACTCGAAGTTGCCCCGCAGCGTCCGCACAGACACCCCCGACTCCTGGATCTGGCGCTGGGCCTCGCTCCAAGGTGGGCTGGCCGAGGCCTCCCTGCAGGTGTCCCGCAGGGGCTGGGTGGCTGGCTTCTCATCCCCCTGCACTAGCCCGTGCACGCCCTTCAACAGCAGGGACAGGCTGCGCACCAGGCGGGAGATGTGGCTGCACCAGAAGGGCAGGGGCTGCCCCCCGGGGGCCACCTCTGAGGCCTCCGCAGAGCACGCAGACTCAGCCGACAGGGTGGGGGCCTCCTCGGCCTCCACTCCGGGTGCCCGGGGCAGGAAGTGGCTGTTGACCGTGATGCTGACCAGGGGCTCGGGCAGCAGGGCCTGCAGCTCAGCTGCCAGCCGGCCCAGCTCACTCTCATACTCCTGACAGCGGCGCCGGAGCTGCAGGTCCGCAATCTGCTTCTCCAGGTAGACCAGGTCGTCCTCGGTCAGTAGCTCCCCAAAGGGGCCCAGGATGGCCTGGTGGGTTTGCGAGTACCTCCAGGACGCTTGCTGCACAGGGCCAGAGCTGCCACTGTCAACCTGGGCACAGGAAGGGCAGGGTGAGCAGGGCCAGGGCTGCTGGACACCAGCTCCCAGGGTGGCTGGCCCCAGTCCAGAGCTGCAGGCTCAGGGAAGGCTGGTTTCCTCTCAAAGGGTGGAGGTGCCCCTGCCCTGCCTCCTCCGCAGTCTTCCTCATCTCCCCACATCTGCTCCAGGTTTCATGGTCAGGGCCTCCCTGCCCCTTCCGACCAAATGTGGAGCTTTCTGTGTTTGAACAGCAGCTCTGGGGGAAGGCAGCTCAGCCACTCTAGTCTGCACCCCTGCCACCCCATCCATTCCTGCTGCCCAATAAACATCTGTTGTCCCAAACTGTGTCAACCCCCAGGACCCAACAGGGACTCCCAGCCTTTGCCAGGCTGTGCCCAAGCCCATATCTTGAGCCCCTTAGCCTGCCCACCCACCATCAGCAGCCCCCCCACCCCCCATCAGCCCACCCACCTGCTATCAGCCCACCCACCTGCCATCAGCCCCCTGACCCTGCCATCAGTCCACCCTGCCCCCCATCAGCCCACCTACCCATCATCAGCACCCCCACCCACCATCAGCCCGCCCACCCGCCATCAGCACCCCTCACCCGCCATCAGCACCCCTCACCCGCCATCAGGCCCCCACCCACCATCAGCACCCCTGCCTGCCATCAGCCCCCCGCCCTGTCATCAGTCCACTCACCCATCATCAGTCTCCCCCCGCCCGCCGTCAGTCCACCCACCCACCATCAGCCTGCCTACCTGCCAGCAGCCCGCCCAGCCTCCAAGTCCCTGAGTTCTCAGCGTCTCTGCAGAGCCTCTCTGATCTTGCCCCAAGATAAGACTTCAAGGGACTTCCCAGCTAGGGCAGACCCTCCAACCTGCTCAGCTCCAGTCTTGCTCTGCTCTGAACCCTGCGGCCCTCAGGCCCTGTGGCTCCCAGCCCAAAAAGCAAGGACAGGCTGGGCCCTCAGACGGGGCTGTCCCACAATCCTGCGACGATGGAGAGGGGCTGTATTCCAGCAGCCAGGAGCCCCCTGTGGCTAAAGAAATGATAAGCAGCTGGTGCGACGGAGGGGCAGGACTTTCACTCTCCTTACATTTTAATTAATGTAAATGGCCACATGTGGCTACATGACTGTGCTGGACATCGTAGCACTAGACCAAGGGGTGCAGAACTCACTGTCCTGACAAAATCGTAGGCCTCTGAGGGTACAATTCCTGAACTGTGTGCACAGCAGCCAGCAAGCCTGTTAAATCCAAACCACAGCTCTTCTCTGCTCAGATTCTCAGTGGCTCCTCAGCCTCACAGAGGTGCAGTCATACCAGCCAGGTTCCTCTCCAAACTCAGGCACCCCACTCCTCGCCTGGGTGCCCCCTCCTGCTCCTCCCTAGATCAGCCAGGCTGTTCCCTCTAACTAGGCGGTGCTTGCCCCAAATTCCCACAGGGCTCCCCCTCTCTTCCTTCTGGCCCCTGCTCAAGGCTACATCCCTGGAGGGGCCCCCTAAGCACCCATATATCATAGCCCTTCAAATGCTTTGCTTTCTCCACAGCAGTGGGAATTGCCCACACACCTGCCAGCACCTGCCCGTGAACCACCATCTTCCCTGCTAGAAGGCTACATGGGACCCATGCCTCCAGAGCAGGGGAAGGGGCTCTGCTCAGAGTCCTCTGGTCTGGTTCGCTTCATCCTCTGGTGGAAGCAACAGCCAAGGCCACAGAGGAGAAGGGCCCCTGGGTCTTGGATTCAGGTCTGGGCTCTGGACACCCTGACTTCCACTTCCACCTGCCTTGAAAAGGCCTCGCCCCACCCTGCCCCTTCCCAGGGCCTACCTGGGCCTCCGCAGCGCTCTCCGTGCCCAGGCGCGCCTGCAGCTTCCGCACCATTACCTGCCGCTTCCACTCGGGGATGGGCCGGCCGCGCTCATCCCGAGTGGGCACCAGCCCGTCGATGTCGCCTGAGGGCAGCCTGTCCAGCTTCAGTGAGGCCAGGCCATCTGGGGCATCCCCTGCCAGCGCCGTCTCTGTCCCCTGCGCAGACGGGGTTGGGTCACACAGGCCTGGAGAGGACCCAGACCCCGCGTGGTGGGAAGATCTGAGAGGGTGTGGAGAGTTGGCTCAGCCCAGGGCACGCTAACAGGGCGCTCTGAGAGGAGGCACAGTGGGGTCCGTGGACAGCACCCCACCCCCTCGTCTCCAGCTTAAGAATGAGGCCTCTGAGGGGAGGGACCCGAGGTGGGGGCAGGGGCAGGGTGTGTGTCAGGGGATTGTTGGCAGAGAAATGAAACTAGAGACCCCTCTCCGCCTCCGATACAAGGCCAGCAGATGCTGCATGTCCCTGGGCAAACTTGATCTGGGCACAGCTACATGGACAAAGAGGCAGCCAGTCCTGTGGTACAGCACTTGTCAGAGGCTTCCGTGTGCTGGGCACACGCCAGCTCTCCAGGAAGGGCAGTGCCATGCAGCACTGCCCGGACTCCCACCGAACGTCTGTGCTTGAGAATCTGCAGGAGTCTCTCAGGGAAAGGCTGGGCTGGGTTTCTAAGGGCCTGGTGCCCAGGAGAGGGTGGGGAGGAGGAGCAGGACCCTTCCACTGGTCCAGGCTGGCCGAAGCCTTGAGGAGGAGGACAGTGGCAGTGGGCCCCTGCCCATGGATGGCTGCTGCGATCTCTGCACTCCAAGTGGCCACAGAGCACCCCTGAGCTCAGAGGTCGGGGAGAGGGGCTTGGGCCACTGCAACCCTCTGGGATGACAGAGAAGGGTCTCTGCATTTCCGTGGTGGGGGGACAGCTGCCATAGCCCTGACTCTCCCATCTCCTCAGAATTCAGGGTGTGGTTGAGAGCAGTGGAGTGACGCAGGCAGCCTGGTGTCCACCCTTCAGGGAAAGGCCTGGCTGTGCTGGGGGGCTTCTCTGGGCCCCCCAGCACATCCACCAAGAGGATGGGGATGGAGGCTGGCTGGGGGCCCTGGGAGACAGGGATGCAGGGGTGGGGGACGCACCATGGGGTGGGTCGTGGCTTTGGTGGTGATCCTCGGAGGGGCTGGGCTGCTCATCTGCTCTCTGGGAAGAGGCTGGTCAGTATGGCCAGGCCAGGCAAGGTGGAGGGACGAAGCTGCTGAGAAGAAGGGGGAGTTGCAGAAAGGGCAAAGGCTGGGGAGCAGAGATGCAGAGCCTCAGGGATCCAGGCCTGAGGGCAGAACCAGCCTCCTGAACCAGCTAAGACTCCAGCCCACCCTGCATCAGAAGGCCTCAGGGGCTTCACTGGAGTCACTGGGGCCAGCCCAAGCCTGGTAGATGGGAGAGTCTGAGGCACACCCCTGGGCCATCTCACAGCCCCTCGTGCAGCAGGAGAGGAGCTGGGAAGGGCTCGAGGCCTAGAGGTCACGGGCTCCTAACGCAACTCTGCAGGACCCAGAGCTGCCCGCAATGCTCCCTGCCCCGATGCAAACACACACTTCGGTGTCAACCTTATGTGAAGAACACATCTGCATCACAGCCAGGCAGACACCGACACAATCACACACATATACACAGTCACAATCACACACATAGTCACAAACACAATCACACACAGAGACATACAGTCACAGTCACACACAATCACATACACACACAGACACAATCATATACACAGTCCCACACAGACACAATGGCACACAGACACACACAATCACACACAGGCAGAATCAGTCACAATCACACAGATACAACCACAGACACAATCACAGAAACATACACAGAACAGACACAATCACACACAGATACACAGATATAACAACACACAGACACAATCACACACAGACACCATACAGACACAATAACATACAATTACACACACAGACACATGCAGACACAATCATGGACACACAGATACATCATATACACATAAACACACACAGACACAGTCACACAATCACAGAAACACAGAACACAAACACATACAAACACAATCACTAACAGACACAATCACATACACACAATCACACAGAAACACAGACACAGAACAGATACACATACTCCCGCATGTGAGCACAGGGCCTCGGCGGGGCCTGTGTTGGAAGCTCACCCTCACTACCTGCGGCACCTGCTGACGTTTTTGTGCTGTTCCATTCCCATTCCATTCCGATCAACGCTGGACACAGTCCCCTAATGGCGGTGGCCTGCAGTGTGAGGACCGTCCCCTGCCCTACTAGCCCGTGCCTGCAAGGCATGCTGGGATCTGGGGACAGCAGCCCATCCACAAGGTGCCTGGGCCCAACCAGCCGGTCTCCCTTCCTTTACCCCTGGACAAGTTGCTGTGACTCTAAGTGCCCACCACGGAAAATGCTAATCCTCACCTTTACACAGCAACAAGGACAGTAAAGGAAACCCAGAAGCAACTGGGAAGGGAGGGTGACCTGGTGCCCGGCTGCCTGCAGACTTCCCCACGGATCCAGGACCCCGGAGGGGAGGCCAGTGGCACCCACTCCCAGGCCCCTGCCCCAGCCGGCCCACCTGGGGCTGTGCACTCATTGGTGGGGTTCCCAGGCCCCAGGCCTCCTCTTCTTCCATCCTCTAGGGAGTGTGTGGCCAACAGTGGAGGTGGGGGGAATGGTGGCGGTGGCGGTGTCATCAGCAGGGGCACCTGTGGGTGGATGGACTTGGTTAGTAGAGGGCCCCTGTGGGCTCTTCCCTGCTCACCTAGACAGAGGCAGGGGCACCCAGTGGGCGGGCCTTGGGGAGCCTGCGCACCTGAGAAGGGTTGGGGCAGGTTAGGAGGTAGCAGGAGAGGGTCAGGTCCTTGATCAAGGTTCTGTCCCAGGGTCATCTCCTGCCTAAGTGCCATCACTTACTGGCACCCCACCTTGGTTCCCCACCCGCTGCCACCTCTATTGGGTGGGCCACCCCAATCTCCAGGCTCAGCTTCCAGGCTCCCTCTGGAAGCAGCTGAGCTGTGGGGCTCTGAGCACTGGGTTACGAGCTGGTTTCCAGCTATGCTCAGTGCCCTGTGGCCTCACAAAGATGCCTGCACGTGCATGCACACACATGCATGTTCACTCTCCCTCCTGCACACACACACACACACATGTCCACAATCCTGCACACGTGTTCACACTCCTGCAGTGTCCACTGTCCCTCCTGCACACATGCGCATGTCCACACTCCTGCACACACACCCGTGTCCACTCTCCCTCCTGCACACACACACACATGTCCACTCTCCCTCCTGCACACACCCATGTCCACTCTCCCTCCTGCACACACACATGTCCACTCTCCCTCCTGCACACACACCCGTGTCCACTCTCCCTCCTGCACACACACCCATGTCCACTCTCCCTCCTGCACACACCCGTGTCCACTCTCCCTCCTGCACACACACACAATGTCCACTCTCCCTCCTGCACACACACACACATGTCCACTCTCCCTCCTGCACACACACATGTCCACTCTCCCTCCTGCACACACACCCGTGTCCACTCTCCCTCCTGCACACACACACAATGTCCACTCTCCCTCCTGCACACACACCCGTGTCCACTCTCCCTCCTGCACACACACCCGTGTCCACTCCCTCCTGCACACACCCGTGTCCACTCTCCCTCCTGCACACACACATGTCCATTCTCCCTCCTGCACACACACCCGTGTCCACTCTCCCTCCTGCACACACACACACATGTCCACTCTCCCTCCTGCACACACACACACATGTCCACTCTCCCTCCTGCACACACACCCGTGTCCACTCTCCCTCCTGCACACACACATGTCCACTCTCCCTCCTGCACACACACCCGTGTCCACTCTCCCTCCTGCACACACACCCGTGTCCACTCTCCCTCCTGCATACACACGTCAGCTCTCCCTCATGCACACACACACGTCCTCTCCTGTATACACATGCGTTAACACTCCACACACACACGTCCTCTCCCTCCTGCATACACACGTGTTAACACTCCACACACGTGTCCACTCCTGTACACATATGTGTTCCCACTCCACATACACACTTCCACGCTCCCTCCACACACGCATGTGTTCACCCTCCTGCAGACACACGTCCACTCTCCCTCCTGCACACGCGTTCACACTGCTGCACACATAAGTGTCCACTCCCTCCTGCGCACACACACGTATTCACGCTCCTGCACACCCCCTCCCTGACTCCTGTGCTGCGGTCCACCTGGAACTTCAGCCCTGACACAGGGCCCATCAGTGTCTTGGGGGTGGATGGCCCTGCGAGCGTCCTGGTGAGGAGAGGGGAGGGCAGTGAACTAGGATGAGGGTCCCCGATGTGCCCATTAGCCAAGGGCATGAGCAGCCCTTGTTCCCAGCCAGCAGGGCCACATGCCACAATCCCTCTGGGCACCTCCCCCACCCTGCCCTCCAGTGGGCACTGGAAGCCAGATGTGGCTGTCAGGGCTCCCACATCAGTGCTAGTGAGAGTCCTGGGCAGAGCAGAGGACTCAAATCGGCCACAATTCCGGACTTGTGGCCTGCGGGGCCCATCGTGCAAGTGGCAGGGACCCAGGCTGCAGCTTGCTCAAATGCACAGCTGTCTCTGCCTTCAAATTCGTTCCCCTTTCCAAGCTCGGGGCCCCCATTTTCATGCTGCACTGGGGCTGCAGTGCGGCGAAGCCGGCCCTGCCTGAGCGAAACTTCGACCCCCCAAGCCTCCCTTCCTCATGGATAAGGCCACCTCTGGGCAAGGACACTGGGTGGCCCCCCAGCCACCTGCTCTCCAGGACCCTCACCCCACGGGGCCACAAGGGAGGAAACGCAGCCTGGCCCCCACGCACCTGACTCCTTCCAGGAATCTGTGCCCACAGCCCAGGAGCCCTGTGCACAGTCGGCGGGGGAGTGACTGCCTGGCCCCCAGCCCCGGAGGCCCTCAGGAGCGAACTGCAGAGTGCAGGGAACGCAGCGGACTGGGGATGCCGGGGGCTGCCGCCCCCAGGAGTGGGAGGGGCCACATTAATATTTGAAGGCCCAGGTGTCCGGTGGCCGGGCGGGCTTGGGCTGGGTGGCCGGATCCCTTACCACTCCATGGAGCAGGGGCCAGGGGAGGGGACGCTCCGGAAGATGGAAGGGGGACCTGAGATCCCTGGACCCCATGAGACAAGAGGCCACCCAGAGGAACCCCCAGTCCCACCCACAGGACAGTTCCCGGGGCACAGATGGGGAAACTGAGGGCTGCTGAAGAGCCACAATGAGAATCTCACTAGAGATGTCAGTCTTTGCTCCCACCAGTGCCTTGAACCACTGCTTCCTTGGTCACAGAGGTTGGCCTCTGGGGAAAGACCAAGAACACACAGCCTAGCTGTTCCTTTCTGGGCTGCTTCTCAGGGCTGAGTGTGCAGGGAGCGGCAGAGGGAACAGGAGCAGGCTTGCTCTCTGCTAAGGAACAGGGGTTCCCCAGACTCAGTGGTCCTCAGTAGAGACACCAACCTATGCGGCATAGCTGCCATCGGGACCCAACTCGAACCACCTGGGCTCAGGGGCAAGGGAATGCCACAAAACATGCCACGTGCTCCCTGCCATGCTGAATAAGGTCCTCTGTCTCCGACCCCGGAGTCTGGTGTCTTCCTCCACGTTCAAGACATAGTGAGAGGCTGGCTTCAAGCAGGGCAGAATCACACCAGATCAGACACGACCAGAAAAGCTGGACACAGTGGTGTCACCGAAAGAGGAATGCTGAGCCCTGCCTGGAGTGGCCCCAACAGCAAGGCCATGCCAGTGCCCCCACACCGTCCCCTGCCCATCCAGGGACAGAGCTAGGAGCGGGATGGTGCCTCTCGCCTCCTCCTTGCCCCTGGGAGCCATCAGCCCCTGCCCTGAGATCGAATCTGCTGTCAATGGGGAGGGGTCACCCCTGGCAGAGTGAGGGGGTTGGCTGGATGACAGTGGCTCCTTATGCTGGGGAAGACAAAAGAGGTGGAAGTTAGTCTGGGGCTCAGGGGACTATTGGACTCTGGCCCCAGCACAGCACCTGTGGCCTGGGGACCTTAGGCCACCCCTCGAGGTCCCCGTGGCCCAGCCCTGCTCCATTCCTCAACACTGAGAAGCGCTGGGACACCACCCATGAGCCTCCATTTCTTCACCTGTAAATCAGACGAGGGATTATGGAGAGCACCTGGCAGGGGCCTTCGTGACGGTGGCATTCAGACCTTGACGCTGCTGCCACCGTTGGTATTAGGATGGTCTCTGAGTTTTAACAGGGAAGGCCCTAGCCACAATGGAGCCGCTGGCGTTTGGAGGCACAGGTGTCGGGGTCCTGTCCCTTGGGGCCCTAACAGACATGCGCTGCCCCAATCCCAGCATTGGACATTTGCCCTGAGGTTGGTGGTCATGTGGCCCCATGGCCCAGCCTGCTGTCCCCGTCCCTGGTTTTTGGTAAGACTAAAGCCTGGAAGAGGCTTCATGCATTATACATGGAGAGCATCGTGCGAGCCAGGTCACAGGCCTGTAACGCCACCCGGCCGGAGAGAATCACAGCCCAGGGATGGCTGCCGGACACCAGTTGCCATGGCTGAGATTCCATTACTGGCTGGGGGGGTGGGGGTGCCACCCTTTCCAGGGGGAGGAGAGTGCCCAGGAAGCCTGTCACCTTCTCTGGGCCTCAGTTTCCCCATATCTAGAATAAAGACATCTTAGTGCCTTTCTGGACCCCAGCAGGAGGGAGCACATCTGTCCCAAGAGCCCACCAGAACAGGTACTTCACTGGGTGCTCAGGGAGCTTCCCCTTTACCCAAAAAACAAGGCTCTGGGCCAGGCGAGGTGGCTCACACCTGTAATCCCAGCACTTTGGGAGGCAGAGGTGGGAGGATCGCTTGAGCCCAGAAGTTCAAGACCAGCCTTGCCAACATGGCCAAAGCCCGTCTCTAAAAAAATACAAAAATTAGCCAGGCGTGGTAGCGCACACCTATAGTCCCATCTACATGGGAGGCCTGGGTGGGAGGATCACTTTAGCCTGGAAGGCTGAGGCTGCAATCAGCTGAGATTGTGCCACTGCACTCCAGACTGAACAACAGAGAGACCCTGTCTTTCTTATGGGTGAGAATATTGGGGTTTAGAGATGCTCAGAACTTGCCAGTGCCCCATGCCCAGGAACTCTGTGAGTGGGACAGCCCTGACACTGTGGGGATGCCAGAGGCTCCGCCCCCTAAGCATGGTGGGCTGTATGTGCCATCCCCGCCCACACAAGGCGCTTAGGGCCCCACAGCCAGGAGCCCAGCTGCTCGGCCAGCAGAGGGGAGGGGGCCTCCCTTGAGGGCAGCCCCTGCCCTTTCCTGGTCTTCAAGGTCCCAGCCCTGATTGTGCAGAGAGGGGTCCCCGAGGGGTCCCCAAGGCCCAGGGAGGGGCAGGGCTGGCCTTCCTGAGTGCCCTGAGCAGACTCCGAGCTGGGGGGCAGCAGCTGACAGCCTGCCCCCTCTTGGAGGCCTGGAGAGGGACAGCTGCCATGGGGAGAGACAAGCACCCCCTGCTGTCACCAGACCCTCCCAGAGGGAGAAGACAGAGACGGGCTCCAGTCCCCCAACTCTGAGCTTCCAAACATGACTTCCAGCAGTGACTGAATTCTAGTTCCTGAAACTGCTGCACCAGGACAAAAGCAGGGGAGAGCCGTGCTCTCCGGAG